CGTGACTGGGATTTGGATTTCCTCCCACCCCACCCCATTGCAATTTCGAGCTGCTGCGGGTTAAGGAAATGTCGTGCAAAATAAGCTCAAGGTCATGTCAAGTAGCAAAGTGAACTATAATGCAAAATAATCATTTAAACAAGCAACTCTTACACAAGGGACACATTTAAAATAAAGGCAGCCCAGCTTAAGAACATTCTGATCTATCGTGACTTTGACAACTCTTCTCAAAATATGCTGAGTGACTTCCAGGTTCTTCATATATCTGTATCTTCAAAGCGCTCCAGGGTCTTGCTCCTTCCTACCTCTGTGACCTGCTTACCCGTATCAACCTGTCCTCTCCCTCTGCTCAGCAGGCTCCGGGCTGCTTCCCCGCCTGCCTGGCTCGTCCCACCATCATCTGTCGGGCTTTCAGCCTCTCTGCCTCTACCCTTTGAAACTCCATCCCACATTCCCATCACCTCGCTCCCTCCCTTTCCTCCTTCAAGGCGTGTCTCAAGACCCTCTTCTACCACGCCTTCGCCCACACTCCTACCCTCCCCGCCCTCCACTCCTCCTGTGTAAATGTTGTTGTTGTATGATCAGTATGTATTTATCCAATTCTTATTCATTATGCCATAATTTAGCACCAACGTGCAATAATGCGTCCCATGTTTCAATAACGGTAAAAAAAAACTTCCCCTTTATGCTTTCAGTAAATCTTGGGTTTATGTCTCTTGTCAATTCACCAACCAGTGGAAATAATCTTTCGCTATTTACCTTCTTAATCCCTTTCAATAATTGTAAACATTTCTCTTAGATCTCCTCTTAACCTCCTGTGCTCCAGAGAATAGCAACACTGGGTTTGCAGCTTTTCATCTTTGCTACATCCTCTCATCTCTGGTATTATCCTGGTGAATCTATATTGCCTCTATGACTTTAATCTCTCTTCTGTAATGGAGTACTCAACAATACACACAATATTCAAGCTGTGGCCTAATGAATGCCCTTCTTGACACTACTCTCGCTTTAAATTAATTAATATTTGTGGGTTTTCAACCCAGATACTTAAATTGACTGGGGATCTGAACAATATTTCTATTGACCAGCCAGGAGAGATTTCCAATTCAGTGCAACTCAGTCAATTTGCTGTGACACCGCACAAAGCTCTAATGTAGTCGGACATCCTAATAGTCAGACACAACTCGCTCACACAGAACTAATGTGCATGCTGGTACCTGGAGGCTTATATGGTTTAATCCTCTCTTCTCCTGCATGTAAAGTGCACCAGAAATACCTTAAGTAAGCAGAAGCTTCCGGGCGCACATGCATGGTTACCGCATACTCAATAGATGCCGTGCTGCAGTTCGCTCATGATGACATAGTGATGTACAGCAGGAAGTCAAGTTTATAACTGTTGCATCAAAACTATTTAAATATATATATATATATAAAAGCACCTGTATCCACCCCAAGGTCAGCTCTTTTGTCAGCATTTAAAATAAAATAGTTTGTCAAACATCCTATCCCATCTACAGTCAGAGCTTTGAAAGAAAAGTAATAATAATAATCCTTGCATTTGATACAGAACCTTATCATGTGGTTGAGACATATCAAAGCACTTCATGGGATATACTGTAAAGTGAACTGACTGTATATTTTGCAGGCGATGATGGAGTGAGTTGAAATGTTAGGATCTAATTGCAATGAATGGCTCCAAAAGGCAAATTCAGCAAGACTAAACATGCTTTCACAGAAACTTTTTCCAGCAGAACTATTTGTGCTTTAGAGCCATTTATGAGGCTAGTGTACAAATTATAGTAACTGCCATAAATCCTGAAAAGCTCTTTGAAAAGTGATGTGAAAGTTACGATCAAATACAAGGCTTATTATTTTTTACATATATATATGCATTTTAATGAATTGGTTCTCCAAAATGTAGTAATTTACAACTACAGAATTTCAGAGAGCCAGTGTCAGGGCTATTTACTCTCTCCTTCCTAGTTCTCTCTATCCTTGACTCTAAATGTTTAAAGTGAGGTCACTAGTTTGATTTATTTAAGCAGAGGTACATGTTTAATTCAGCTAGGCTCACTGTAGTTATTTAATGATTTATTTCTGTAGTTATTTGAAGCCAAGTTTTCAATTATTATGCTCAATCTTCGTTTCAACACCAACCACCCAAACAAAAATACTATGGGGAAGAAAGAGAGAGAGTGTGTGTGTGTGAGTGTATGTGTGTGTGTGAGAGAGAAAGTAAGAGAGTGTATGAGTGGGTGAGGAGAGGGTCTGAATGCTTCCACTGCACATTTTGAATATGTGCTGAGATCACTTCTCATCATTTTGAGGAACGAGTAAAGCATAAGACTATATTTTGCATTCAATTTGCACTTTAACTTGACGGTTCCAGCTGATCAATCTTGGTAGGCGTTGTACACGGTACTGTGGTATGTCCCTCTTTTGAACAGAAATAATCATTAAAAGCAAATAATTGGTAGCAGCAGAGACACTTTATTGGGCTGATAGTACTTCTTTGAAGATCAGTGAGTGTGGCTCCTGTGACGTTAAGCACCATGTGAGCTGAGGGATTTTATTGCTGCTAAGCCAACACCGATTATTGTACAGAGGGAAAAAAACACTGTAAGCAAGAGCAGTTTTCCGCACCGGTATTTAACGTAAAAGTTATCTGCAGACAATAGCGTCCAACGTTTTCCCAGGTTAACAGCACGAGAAATTTGGAAGCCTTGCCTGCTCATGGAGATTACAAAGGGTGATTTGAGGGCAACATTTTTCATTCCGCAGAGCTCTCTCCCAGTCCAGTAATCTTGTTATTGCAGAGAACACATGTCAGAAACCAGTGGATTACAGAATATAGAGTAGCACCGGTCCCATTACTCAAAATTGTCATTCTCTCGAATCAAGACAAATAAACTACTGCATTGGCTACAGTTCAATACACAGGTTTATAACTAGTGATAATAATAATCCTTGTGTTTGATCTAGCGCCTTGTCACATCTTCGAGACGTCTCAAAGCGCTTCACAGAATATATAAGTAAATTGACTGTGCATTTTGTGAATAAACAGTGATACGTAATAAGAAGAACTTTTTCCTGGCCACAAATGGGCATGCCCGAAGTTGCTGAGATTTCCAACCATCCAGTCTGCCACCATCCAAGCAGCAGTGCAGAAGTGTTAGATGAGTGGGCGTCAGTTTAGTCACCAAGACGTCCATGAATACATCAAGTTCTCCTGTTTCGTGGAGCAAACCTGTTTGCCCTGGAATCTCTACATATCCTCCCATCTGGAGCGTTAACACGCTGCATCTTACCTGCTGGGTTTGCTTCTATAATTTGCCAAGTCAGCAAGTGCCCCGCTTGATCCTCTCATTCAAAACAGCATGCTTTCCTCCAGAAAAAGGCAGGTTCCACATCTTCTACACACAATTCAACTTCCGAATCAGCATTCGTCAGTTCCTCTGGAAAAGCCTCAGCCATGCTTTACAGCAGTGGTCTCTGGTTGATGTCTCAGTTTTTAACTCCCATGTGCTTAATAATAATAATAATCCTTGCATTTGATATAGAGCCTTATCGCGTCGTTGAGACGTCTCAAAGCACTTCACAGAATATACTGTAAAGTGAATTGACTGTATATTTGGTGGACGAAATGCAACGAAATGCGCTTATTCATTCTTTGAGAAGTGGAATGACACACTGTCCTTTGTTTGAATTCTGAAGCCAACATGAATAATACGTTTCTGTCCAAATATCATCTTCTTCTGACATGGAAGTATTTGTGTCCTGCCTTCCTTACAAGCATTTCTTGGTGCCTGAGTATCCAGCGACCTCATATTTACTGATGAGAACTATCCTATTCTAGTCCAGTCCAGGCTATTTTAATATTGCTGAAGAAAGTTGTCTGGACAAGGACAAACCTAACACTCTTTATACCTCTCTCTGGATATATCAATATATTCTATTTATTGTCTTCTTGAAAACGTTCCAGTTCTCTCTTAAAAGGCAATATAGTTTATAAAAATCTCCCTGTCCATTTGGTTCATTAATTTTTTATGAGAAATGATAATTCTGAGGATTCAATACTTGTTGGCAAGGTGATTCACTTGGTTTCAACTTGCATCCCTATAGATAGCTATGGTATCAGTATCGATGTGAATATTTACTCGGTCATTGGTTACAGTTGGATTAGTTGCTCAAATCTACAGATTAGAGAGCAGAACTTCATTCCTTTAGTGTCGCTAGGAAGTCCTCCTGACGTGAAAGGCTATACAACTATAATTTTGTTTTGGTAATTTTTTTTCGCACCAAAGCGAATGCCACCACTCTTGCGATTCTCTGAGTCACAGGAATTTACTGTCATTGAAGAGACAAGGCAGATATTCTGTTGTAGTCCAGAAACTGGTGCCAGTGCTGTCAAATGGGCATAAAAGTGGTTCCTAATGAGGTTTTTGGGGGCTATCATGGTTCTTTTCTGAAGAACAACTTTTCAGGGCCTTTGCCATCTCATCACACTGACATTGGTTGACATTTGAGACTGGTTTGCTTGCTCAAGAACTCATTGGGTAATGGGAGAGGAACGAATGAGAGGGCTAGGGAAAGAATTGGAGCATTTGTGTAACCTTTCCTCCGCAGCATTCTGGCACCAGATAAAAATTGAATAGTCTTTCATAATTTCATACTGCGCTACTTAAATAAATCGTTCTTTAGCATTGTATTACCATAAATCTCTGAACTGATGCCAATAGACTCAGGGAATAATCTTGTTCTGAATGGCTTTCGCATGATTACTTACAAATCATAGGCTGGGCATGGACAAGACATTTCACTGTCCTGCCAAGAAAATAAAATCTCAAAGCAGTTGTACAAATCAGGTTATGGAGGAGCCAGCAAAGCGAAAAACATATCAAGGGGGAGAACTTCTAATTGTGAAAATATACTTGCAGTGTGTGGAAAAAGAGATTCGTTAGAATTGGCATATTTATACTCATGTTAACTTTCCTTTTCAGGTCAACAATGAAAACGTAGTGAAAGTTGGCCACAGACAAGTGGTAAACATGATCCGACATGGAGGAAACCACTTGATCTTAAAAGTGGTCACAGTAAGCAGAAATCTTGACCCAGAGGATACAGCTCGAAAGAAAGGTAATTTCTCACTTGTTCTCATAATTCAGACTTGTTTGAACAAAACAAACTCGTAACCAGTTAATTGTCAAAATAATGTTGTGCAATTAAAATCCCAGTTTTTTTGCTTGGGCGAAAATTGGATTGTTGTTCACTTTTGATCAATGTGACACTTTAAAAGGGACCATCAGAATGCAAATGATCAAAATTTACTAAGAAAAGTGTTTAATGGAAATATGAAATGATGGTCTTTTGTTCTATACGATTCCGATTATAATACTAATTCTTGCATTTGATATGGCGGCTTATCACACCGTTGATACGTCTCAAAGGGCTTCACGGAATATATTGTAAAATGAATTGACTGTATATTTTGTGGTCTGATTGCATTACACTCTGCAAAACTGTAGCTGCAATCGGATAATTTTGTTGTTGGTAAGTTTATCCAAGAATGGTAATACAGGTGTGTGCACCAGTCATTTGGACCAAGAACCAATGATGATTTTCATGAGCTTTTAAAGTATGCATTTCATCAAAGCCTTCAAATTAGACATTTATCACTTGTGACTTTGGTGATATGCGCTTAGAATGGAAAACAATTCTAATCATTTTAAGGGGTTTTAAGGGTGGGAAAAGTAATTGGTTGTTTCAGAATTTGCTCAATTCTTAGAAATCCACCTTTAAAGGTTTACAATTTCGAAAACGCTGTCAAAACCCATTGGTTTGATCCATATTTTAAACAAAGGGAAGAGTATCTCATCATTTCCTTTACTTTGTATTCTTCCAATTTTTTTGTCATAACAGTGCCATAGGTTTTTAGTTTGGAATGCTATGCATTAATTATCAAAACATACCTCAACACATAAAATCACAGTACCTTTCTCAATTTTTGCAACAAATTGTAAGCAGTGTTTAAAGGTTTTGAAGCTTTCATATCACTGCAGTCTGCACACAGTTATTAAAAGACTTTGACCAAAAAAAGGGTATCACTCTCCTCCCCCAAAATCTCTCAAATGCTAAAATATTGTTTATTGTTAGCTTCCTATACACAGGCAATTGAGCACCAATTTGAAATCCCTAACAGCATTTCTGTACAAAAGGAAATTATTGCGCAGTTCAGCTATGCGTAGGCAGGCTCTGTGTAATAAAACTCCCGGCACACAGCTGCTAGGCAACATGAAAGAGGGAGCCAATTTTGCTGGGAGCAGTTTCAAGCCATCGGCTTCAGAATGCCATGGCAAATTTGCCATGGAATCCTCAAAATAAAATGTTTAGATGCCAAAAACAAACCCAGGCATGTTCTGCCTTGTTGTATCAAGTGGATTATATTCCAGAGTTAAAATTAATAAGGCGCGTGCAATTATTTATACTGTGCCTGTCAGCAGTTCAGTGCTCCAGGACACTACCCCGCGTGAAGGGTACTATATAAATTGCAAGTTGTTGTTGGTGGTGTCGTCAGCAGTTTAGTGCTCTGATGAGTATGCAGTGCCACAGGTTACAGCCATTTAGGTGCTTTTCCTCAACTTAAACATGCATTTAACAATAATAATCCTTATCACGTCTTCAAGACATCTCCAAGTGCTTCACAGAATACACTGTAAAGCGGACTGATTGTATATTTTGTGGGCAAAATGCGGCAGCCAATTATGCACAGCATTTCTCTTGAAGCTGCAGTTTTTTCGCCCCAAGTGAATATCAAAACCAGAGACACATTAGCCCAACGATATTCAAATAACTTTTGGCAGTGGATCATACACCTCTGTGCTTCAGGGGTACTGCTGTAAATTAGACTTTACATGTCTCATTTACATGGATTGCCATTTCCCATTCACCTGTGTCAGATCTCGAGTCTGCTCAGGTTTTTTACCTTAAATCTTTTGTTATCTTGTGCTTGAGGTGCTTTTATTGACTTGGAACATTTATTGATGACTTTTCATTCCCCCGAGACACTACTCCTTCATGTGGGTTAGTGTCTTGGAGCGCTTCTGACTCAGAGGCGAGAGTGCTACCACTGCACGGGCTGACAAAACAAACCGGTTAATTGATAAATCTGCATGTGTTAGAAGGCAACTTGTGTATTTTTGTTGTATTCTTTCTCTCAGAAAACCTGACTAGTAATCCTAATTGAACAATTTACCTCGGACTGACCTGGAACCTATTCATTCATAGGAAACTCTAAATTCCCACTAGGGGTTCATTATACACCTACATCAGCCTATTTTAGAAGCAAAGCCTTTTCCTCTTATTTACTCCTTGGTTTTAAGCACCATTTGCAATAAATTGTTTGGTATAAAATACCACAGGGTTATACACGCTAGAGATAAAACAAAGGAAAATAAAGAAACTAGATACGGTATATTTTATTGAGATTACAGCACCCTGCTCTGCCAGCAAATATAGAAAAATGGAGTCAACGTATTTCTGAAGGAAATTACTATTACGGATATGAAATGGACAGTCGAAATGCCTTTATAAAAAAAATACGTGGGTGCGGGGTGTGGGGGGGAGAAGAAATAATACATTGGTCAGGGTAATGCTTCAGAGATGTTGCCAATAAACAGACTGAACATTTAATTTAGACCAAATATCTAAGCTGGGAGTAATTTGTTCCTTTCTTCCAAAAGAAGGATTTGAAATCAATGCTTTTTTAAAGTAAATAAATTGCACCATTAAATTGGCAACATTAGGCGTCAGCTGCAAGAACATACAACAGCTTTGTGACTGCAGCTGTATGCATGACTCAATCTAAATGAAAGTTAAATACGGTTTTAACAATAAATTGTGATTTTATTTCCCCAACAAGCCCCACCACCTCCGAAGCGAGCGCCCACGACTGCTCTAACATTGCGGTCGAAGTCTATGACCTCGGAACTCGAAGATCTAGGTAAGGATAGGAGACTACAAGGAATGGATACGTTGACCTGAAAGATTTTGTTTTCTAACTGTGTCGATGGAGCTTGCTACAGGGGTATTCGTGGCAAGCAAGGGAAAATAATTAACAGTCTGATGATCTATGTGATGATTGCATGAGCTTTTTCTGCCGTTATCGTACGGTCGAGTGTTGACACAGTGTTTAGCGAACGGTCTGATTTTTGTGAAATGTCAAAGTTCCAATTCTGACAGATAATCAAACGATGTCTTCCCTTCCGGTAACTTTCTTCTTACTCTTTTTTTTGGCTCAACAGTGGACAGAGGTAAGTTACCAAAACTAAAGTTTCAATGCTTTACTATGGCACACACAAGTAACTAAACCTGTGGACGCTGATACATGAGGACATCGATGCCCTTGATTTGCAAGGACATTCCCGTAAGAGGATTAACGGTTGTCATATTATTACTGTAGCTTTATTCAGAAATAATCTAAAATTGATGGCCGGAAAGCTCTTTATGCCGTGTGTATTGTAACTTATTAATGAGATAAAAGACTTTAACTCTAGCCAGCCAGCAATATTTAGGGATCAATAGGAAGGAAGAAAGTACAAGTGAACAGTTCTCGAGTGTTTAATGAATACCACATATTTAATTGCAATATCTTTTGTCGTGGCAATCACGTTTTCACTTTGTCTCCTCAAAGCAATATTAAAGCTGCAGCAATTAATGATAATATCTCTGTGGTGTAATAATAAAGTTTTTTAAATTCTGGTGTGCTCCTTCCGAACAAATTTCCTATTGTGGGCTGGTTGTAATTTGTGATATTTATCAAAATATGGAATTCTGACAATTAATGCCAAAAAGCTTGTTGCACTTAATGACTCTTTTTTGGCTCTAAGAACATTTCTCATAGTTTGCCATTCTTGGTGAGAGTCGGAGAAACCTTCTAAGTATCTTTGATCGTCTTGATCCCAGTCACTGCTCCGTGGACATTTCCATAGCATCACTAATCCTTGAGGGGAGGGGGGTGGGGGGAGGAATAGTCCTTCATTCAGTAATTAACTGAATTAGTATATGCAAATGAGTTGTAATTAGAATAATTAACACATGACCTTCTCTCCCATCCCATCCCAGATCTCCGCTCCAACTTTAGAAGTTGAGGTATGCATCTCCTTCAGTTATAGTTGAAAGCCAGTTCCCAATTGATTACATCACATTTACAATTTATTAAGCTATTGCATAAAATAAAATTTTATCTGGAGAAGGTTTAAAAAAAAAAGCGAATTATTTTACTCTAATACCGCTGTCTTCCCTTCCCCACACTAACTGACGGAACATAAAATAGAGTTTTTTTAAAAAAATGGGGACAGATGTTTTGCATCTGTCAGATGATAAAGTTACCCGAGGTTGTAGTTTGCGACGGACATGCCAACTTTTGGACAGAAAGTGAACTAAAATTTCTCTTTTTTTTAAACAATTTTCCAAGCTACTTTACGGAAAAAGCGGAGTGGTAAGTAAACAAAATAAGAACAACTTATACACCAATATTTGATCAATTATTGGGCAGCCTTTAATTATCAGGACTTTAAGGTTAATATACACAAAAAGGGCAGAAAATCCTACACACACCACTAGTAAATCCTATTCACTATAAATGTGTTCTCATACTGAAATATACTGCTGTGTACAAGGTTACAGGCCCATAGAATTTACATTATGCATTTTCTATTGTACCAGAACCACAGATAATTCAAATGATTAATGTCTCCAACAATATTACTGATTCCTTTTGTAATGTATCCTTTTCTAGGATGGATTGGATTTCCATTAGGAGTCTAATTTAACGCAGAACTCAATCAGTTGCTGCTGTTTAGACGACACTATTTATTTACAATCTGTCAACTGACCATGACGAAAATGTCATGTCCATGCAATATATTGTTAAACGTAATTTTGTACAAGGTAAAATAGCTCCCACCTGTGATGAGTTTATGAAATGCTTTTGAAATGGAATGCAGTTCAGAAACTAGTGCCAACGGTTAACCTGAAAGTGCAATTGAAACCAAACTTTACGATAGCCATTAATGTTTAAAGAAATAGTTTTTAACGCTTCAATACGTCCATGAATGGGGACAATGTATTGCTCACTCCAGACCATTTTTTTTTAGAGAGGTGCATGTTGATCAGTCAATAACTAGGAAGGAGGTTTAAAGTGTACACATTGGACCATTGCCGGTACTACAGATAATGGAAGCTCCTGCTTACTTGCTTAATGGTGGTTCAATGTGAAATATTCTGAGATGTTATTTGACCCATCAATTCCAATCGAGTAGGTCCTAAATGCTTTGAATGTATGGGCATCAATCATATTTAATAGGAAATGACTATATTCTGCCTTATATTAGATAAATTGATAGTGAAATTCATTTCGGGAGAATGTTTTGTGGGTCATATGACTAATAACACAAGCTGCTCCTCTGTGTTATGTCAAGAGTATATCACTAATGAGAGTTTGCAAAATAGTACCATGTGTCCAACATATGAGATGCAGTTTCATGACCTCAACAATTTTCCCTAAGAGTAAATTCCTTTATCTAAGCAGCAATTGTGAACATTCGTTAGTATAAACCCTATTCGGTGATTATCATACTTTGCATAATAACTGATAATTACTCTGAACCCTATTCTGTAACAAATCCACTTTGGTTTCAAAAGTAGAAGACACTATTTTACACGAGGATGTGACATTATACTTTCTTTGCAGTTTTACTTGTGCTGTGTATTTGATATCTTTCTTTTCTTTCATTTGGCAGTGTTGAAATAAAACTGAATTGAATACTAAATCTTGTTCTTTGTCTAAACTCTTCTCTCCATCTCTGCGTTACTATAGATATTGATCCATCACATTTAGAGGGTTTGAAGAGGAGGACTGCCTTTCAAACCACACTAAGTAAAACAAAACCCTAATGCATTCAAAACATGCATGTCGTGTCATAGCAATGCAACCTTCTGATTGCATAGAGTTTGTAGTATGGCAATATGTTGTGTGCATGGATATTGTCAAGATTCTTGTTTTTGGATATGAGATTTTTTTTCTCTTCTTCAGTTAATTGTCAAGGCTTGAGGTGAATCTGACTATACATTACACTTGTCTTCTGCAGACAAACTAGATGAAGTTGTGCCAAACTCCAAACAGTCGAGGGCTGCAGAAAACGTAATGTCAGACTCAAGAGTTGCAACAATCAAACAGCGTCCATCAAGCAGGTGTTTTCCTTCTACTTCAGATGCAAATGTGAGTAAAATGTTGCTTTAAAATTATTTTTTGACCTGATTCTTAAGGGTCTTCTTTTTTACAGTTAGTTGGAATCAGTCCCATCTTCCTTCTTATAACTAGTTTGAAGCTTGTATCCTGTAAAATGAGGACACGATTCTTGATTTTGGCGTCTCTCAATTTAAAGAAAGACTATGTGAGAATTCCCTGATTTGTAAGAGGGGCATGAAATATTAAAATCTATCGTCTTAATGGAATGTCACCATCTGATGTGACAGAAAATTAATATCCTTCTTTAAGAATGGTGCCTGTCATTGTACTTTTGAAGATATATTCCACTTACCCTAATGGTAACCTTAACACCACAGTCCATTTATCAAATTGGTTTTGTTTGCGTTTTCTAAGACATCATTTCCCAGTACTATATTTCTCCTAACAGTCAGAACCATGTTTGTCTTGATCAAGGTTTAGTTACTGCCCGTAACGTAGAGATTTTTTGGCAATAATTTTTTATTTGCCAAAAGGGAATGTGTTCTTTAAATCTCATTGCAAACAGTAATGTAGTGCTCGTTCAATACTGGGAAGAATGGGTTGACTTGTTGGCAGTTACAACAACAAGATTGCATTTATAGAGCGCCTTTCATGTCGGGAGGACTCCCAAGGCGCTGGAAGTTGGGTCGGGACCGCAGCAGGGGGGAAATGGTCAGGGTGAGGAGAGGGAAGCGAGGAGGGGGTAGAGAGTCGAGAGGGGAGCTGAAGGCACGGTTGAAGACAACAGACCGTCACATAAATTCTGAAGCAGCTCACTAAATTTTTTTAAGCAGAGTTACATATATTTGATGCATAGAGCGATGTCCAGCAATTGAAGAATGAGTGCTACCCACATAAAATTCAATAATCTCAATGTTTTCTAGCTATGAAAAATAGTTATTTTTCAAAATAATTCTCGTTTTATTTTTAAATAGTGCAGACACTTGAATTAATTATTGGCATCTCTGTGTGATTGGGTTGTGGGTAATCACCTAATTGGTTCACTTTATCTTTATATTAACCTTCAATCAAATAGCCTAATGGATCTACACTCTTACAAATTCCTCTGCTACATCTTTGTCTTCCTGCTGCATTCATTCAATTATCCAGATGACTTTGTTAAGGATCGTTTTTTCAACGCTATTTGGTATTTTCTTTCTAACATTGTACTCTAAAATTCAATTCCAAATAATTCCAGCTTTTCCACACAGGTTTCTTAACCTTGTTGTGAGTGCCTAAGGACCTTTCCCAGATCTGTGCAATTCCGTTACTTGTTAAGTGGAGGATTTGAGTTCTGTGATCTAGTTGTCCATTTTGTGAATATTTGTGACATTATTGAATTATGAGACAATGAAGTTTCACTGAATGTCTCCCCATTGTGTTTTCTCGGATCCATCGCCAGACATATTACGACTTCTAATTATGCCAATATGGAAGGGTTGGTACAATTGATCCTTGCTGTATGTAATTTGAGAAACTGTTTAGCTTAATTGACGAGTTCACTTAACCCCCCCTGTTACATTATCTCCTCTTCCACACTTGTTCCTTCCTCCCATGTTTAGCTTCACACATTTTTGTCCCTAATCTAGAGTAGTCCAACGGAACAATGTCAGACTAGTGTCGCTCCTTGTTTGATCTCTGAAGACATTTGTAATGAGCAGCATAAATAGATAGGAATACTTCATGCTCCTCACCACCACACCGTTTACCAAAACATGAATTCAATAATAAAGCACAGGTTATTTAAAATTAAAATAGTAACTCTGGCACGGCTACTGGGAAATAACTTTTTTAATAGAAAACAAATTGAATCTAGTTATAAAAGTGTGCGATAGTGTACTATGCAAACTTTTGCAGTTTAAAAAATCTTTAAAATTTTATTCCTATTCTCAGTCAATCTATGATCGTCAAGGTATTGCTGTTATGCCTCCTACTGTTCCTGAAAGCTCTAATAGCCCCTATCTAGGAGTACCACGGGGAACCATGCGAAGGCAAAAATCCATAGGTAAGAGGTGAATATTTCTGACATTATTGAATTATGCAAAATGGTTCACATGCTTCAAAAAATACATGTAGCGGTCTATAATCTCTCTTAAGATGTCTTATCCAAGCCTTAGCTAAATATATCAATATATTTATGGATTAATTACTGATCTACATGTTCACTATGAACCCTAGACATTCTCCGTGGATTTATTTTCATGCGAGAGTAGTTTTGCTAATGAGGAGGATTCTATTGTTGTTCATGCAGTGCAAGCATTTTGACAAATGCACAAGCAGGAACCAGAACAATTAGTTTTATCCAATTTCCTGTTATGTTTTGATGATGTAGATTTGCTAAAAAAATTAATGAGTGCGATCCTGCTGCACGTTTATGCTCAGCTGTTGTCCTTAATATATCTGTACCACTTATCTTTTGGGGGGGAAAAAAACATTAAGTAAGTAGCATGTTGACATAATCCAATTGATCACAAGTCAAATGGCTAGAATTGCAGTATGAGTGTAGCACTCATTTGACAGTGCACAGAAATACTCTGGCAAGTATTTGTGCAAGTGCGAGGTATATCTCCATGAGGAGTTAAAGCCAATTCAAGACAATAAGGCCCGAAAATGCTTTGGGCTCTTTCTCGTGGAGGACAAAACAAATCCACCTGGATCTGGTTGTCTACAAGCCATTCTAGAAATAAAATAAAATAAATCGAAAATATAAAAATATTGAATATGAATGCCTTTCTGTCCACAGGTATGTTAGAAGAAGAGAAACAATTTTTAGCTCCTCCATTACTAAAATTTACAAGGAGTCTGTCAATGCCAGACACATCTGAAGACATTCCACCTCCACCATCAGTTTCCCCTCCTTCACCTCCTTTTCCACCAAAATCTCCTGCTCCAAGGGGTTACGGTACAATCAGACCAAGTTTCAACCATAATTCTGGGATGAGATCCATCAATTCAAACCGACCAGGGAACACAGGAACACTCAATACAGACCGAACAAAGAGAGAGAAAGTGATGTTTTACAGACAAGAGTCCTCTGATCAATATTCTGTTGACTCCGAAGAACAGTACAAACATAATATTCCTCCCCTGCAGCAAAACGTCAGAAACAGGAGGAGCAACATGCCAGAAAATCCATATTCTGATGTTGGAAATTCAGCAAATAAAGCGGTTTACGTTCCTGCCAAACCAGCCAGAAGAAAAGGACAGTTGGTAAAACAGTCGAAAGTTGAAGACAGCCCAGAAAAGACCTGCTCCATTCCCATCCCTACCATTATTGTGAAAGAACCTTCGACAAGCAGCAGTGGTAAGAGCAGCCAAGGAAGCAGCATGGAAATCGACTCGCAAGCTTCGGAAAACCAGGGTCAGCTCCGGCCAGATGACAGCTTCTGTAATCCTTTTGCGGCCGCCATTGCCGGTGCGGTTAGGGACAGGGAGAAGAGAATCGAGGCTCGGCGCCACTCGCCTGCGTTCCTTTCAACAGATCTCGCCGACGAAGATGTTGGCCTCATGCCACCGAGTCCACGGTTGAGACATTCCAAATCCATTGACGAAGGGATGTTTAGTGGTGAAGAACGTTACCGTCAGTTCATGGTTCCATTGGGCGCAAATTACAGCGGCACGGAAACTGGCAATCAACGGATGTCAAACACAAGGATACTTAATGTTGCTACTAAAACGGAAATTATTGAAGATAATGCAGGAAGTGAAAACATTTATAATGCATCAAATGTACCCAACATTAACAGTAATTACGTTCATCCAGTGAGTGGCAAAGTATTGGATTCAAACTCCCCGCTAGCCCTCGTTTTTGCTGCAAGAGATCGAGCGATGAAGGACCAATCGCTGCAAAACCATAGCAAACCCGAACCTGCAAAGACTGACCTAATAAAACCACTTTACATCGACACAAAGTTGAGGTCAAACATGGAAACTGCAGCGGCCGCCTCTGCCTCTCTCACCAGGCAGAACCAAGCCGGCTCTTCAGCTACGCTGAGAAAAGAGATGAATTTGAAACCCGAAACGGAAGCGAGTAAAGAAGATNAAAAAGGCGACGACAAGAAAAACATGCTCATCGATATTGTGGACACCTCGCAGCAGAAGACAACGGGATTACTCATGGTGCATTCAGTCGCTGGAGCAAAGCCCGACAACTCGGGCCAGAGCGGGAACGGAGAGAGCAAAACCGAGAACTTGCCGGCAGACACCACGCTGAACAGAAGCCAAGTTGCGAGCAAGGCTTCAGAGTCGAAAAAAGCAGAAACTCCCATTTCGGCTGGCAAAACGATCATTACTATTAGTTCAGTGGAAGATTCCACAGTTTTACCCTTCCGCATACCACCGCCCCCGCTTGCGTCCATCGATGTGGAAGAAGACTTTATATTTTCAGAACCTTTACCTCCGCCGTTGGAATTTGCAAATAGTTTTGAGAGTTCCGAGGATCCCCCAACAGTCCAATCTCTGTCGGATTTATTAAAGCAGAATAAAGGGATGGTTTCCTCTTCTTTGTCGTTGCACAACAGGGAGACGATCAACTCATCGCAGATTTCTTCAGACAGTAAAAAGCAAGCTGGTCTTTCCAATTCCTTACCCGCTACCTTTGCCCAAAGCCAGAAGCTTTTGATAATGTAGTTGATTCAGGGATAGAAGAAGTTGATAGTCGAAGCAATAGTGACTATCATTTGGAAACGACTAGCACTATATCTACAGTCTCGAGTATCTCAACATTGTCTTCAGAGGTTGGCGAAAACTTAGATACATGTACAGTCTATGCAGATGGGCAGACTTTTTTGATTGACAAACCTCCAGTTCCTCCAAAGCCAAAAGTCAAGCCCATTATCAACAAAAATAATGCAATTTACAAGGATGCTTTGATAGAAGAAAACCTAGATAGTATGTTCATCCCACCACCTGCACCTCCTCCCCCATCTGGTGGTGTACAGTGCGAAACACATAAAACTTCACAGCAGAGGACCTCAAAGCTATGGGGTGATGCACCGGATACAAAATCCCCCGTCACACCAGATGCAAAGGCAAATGTCATTAGTGAATTAAACTCAATCCTACAACAAATGAACAAGGAAAAGGTGCCCAAACCGACAGAGGCCTTGGATTCCCCTACAGGATCGAGAGGAGCGGCATTTGGAATAAGGTAATCGTGAACTATTAAAATGCACAACAACAACAACTCGTAGCATTTATATAGCGTGCTTCACGGTGGCATACTCCATAAAATTGGCAAACGTTATTGCTCCGAAAGCAAAAACAATCTAAAGTTTTATTTTTATGTTGATTGTGTTTAATTGTGGATTTCAAGGGTGAAGGCAAGATATGTAGTGTTGAGTTCACAAAGAAAACACTTCCTTACCTCATGAACTTTAGTTTTGTTCTACACGTGTTACTATAGATAGCATGTGAAAGGCTAAAATTGCAGAAAGAATGCTAGAGTGAAACATACCATCAAAGGCTCATTCTTTTGAACACAGCTAAAACATTTATCCTGAACAAAAGCCAATCAAAAAGCTTTCTTGTTTTTTGGTTTAGGCCTTGCAATTTAGATGTTAATTCCACCAATACTGTGCATTACACTTCACATGGATCCCTTTGCCCTGCACCTTCTTTCCTTGCCTCCAAACCCTCTGAAATGTAATCTTTATTCCTTTGACTGGACATTTAGTCAACGCTTTGAAACTCCTCTTTTTTCCTCCAAGCTCAGTTGAACCCCTTAAGTTATTATTCAGTTAACCTGAACATGAAAGGTTATTGCTGTTGATTTATGTCATTTGCTTTTACTGCACATAATCCCTGTCTAATCAGCACCCACAACATGGGACCATTATGTGCAACTCAGTGTGCCTTATATTAATTAGCCAGTGATTAGAATCATCTGAATCTGTCAAGATTGTTGCTCTGATTGAGATCAATTCTGTGCAAATATTAGCAGGTGTCTCGAGTGTATCTCTGAGTACTTCCATTGCATGAAAAACTTATAATAGCCATAATTATCTGATTAAATATGGTGGGCAGCCATTCCACTTGGGTCTTGGTTTACTCTATTCATGCAGCAGTAAAGAGTTTCCCGAATGTGGCAATGTCTTAAATACGGCCTTAATTTTGAAGCTGTTTCCTTCGGTTTTAAGAACTGCAGAAAACAGACCTCAAAGTCAAGACTCCATTACGTATTGGTGGTTTCTTAAGCAGTAGAAGGTAACATGTTTTTCAACTGTTGTGGTAATATTTCTGAGGTGGAGTTAACAAACGTTTGCTTTATTTTAAAGCAAATTAGTCAGGATAAACTGCTATCTTTAAATCGCTGTCCGCAGCTAGTCTCCTTCACTGTCTGAGCAAAACCGACAACAACAAATTACATTTACATAGCGCCTTTCACGTCAGGAGGACATCCCAAGGCGTCTAACTATATACAAATGACTCTCAAATGCTACAGTCAGTCTATGCTTTAGAACTGCCATTACAGTTCCATGGGGCCCTTTAACAATTTGGAACTTGCACTCCTGGTGTTTAACATGTGCGCCTGACTTTGTGATATTTTGTCAAATTGCACCAATAGCTTGACTTCGAAAGTGGTGTGACTTTAGGTTTGATTACCAAAAACTGCACAACATACTCAGATCTCTCTTCCAGCTCCGAAGAGATTTTTTTAATATATATGTTATTTATGTGTGGGCTCGCATCTTAATTTTCTTTTTAAAAAAACTGAATACTTTTTTTTTACATGGAGAGTTTAAATTTGCAGAATTTGAAGTTTTGTGTGTATTTCTCAGACTCCACTTTAAAATAATCCATTAAATGTTCAAATCATTTTAAGTGAGTTTACAGCTATCTGAATTCTTTGCATCTTCTTAGTTGGATTGTTTTGTTTTTCTCCACCCCAGGTTCTAGATATTTATCTTTTTTCTTACTAATAAATATTCTTATTCCTAACTCCAAATAATGCCTATTCATTTGATAGCATAGTCCACTATTGCATTATACATTAATACACTCAGTTAGGGATCGGAAGAGAACCAGAAGGATTTTCAGTTCAACGTTCTTGGATTAAAACAAAAATCTAAGGCTGTAAAGCTTTCAGCTATTCCAAATTCTCCATGGAAGATTATACTCCTGTTTGAATAGAATTTGTTTTTAATGTTCATTGTACAACAAATGCAGTGCTCAGGAACAAATCCTAATTAAAAATCATATCCTGAAAAAACAACAGTTCAAATAAGAACTGCTGATCTTATGAGAAAATGGATATGATACAGTTGAACGCAAAGCCCTAAAGTCCCTATAATTATCCACTGATTCAACTCGCAGTGCCCCTCTTGTGAGCCTGCTGAAGGCAAGAAAGACTTGTACTTTTTTATTAAATACAAAATTATTTTAAAAAAGATAATTCCTTTATCACACTGAAATGCCTCAAAGTAGTTGATAGGTAATTACAGTCTTAGAGGGACAACGTGGCAGTTCATTTGCATCATTGAGGTACGACAAACAGAAGTGATTGACAAGTTAATCCAGAGGACTGTTGGCACAGGGCATTGAGATAAACTTTTTTTTTCTTTTTCTTATGGTATACTAACCAACATTTCATGGGACCAGGTAGATTTTTTAGTGCTTAACAGGACTGGGTTACACACCAAGCAGGGGGAAGGTAGGCATAGAGGCAGGATTTGATGCAAGACAGAAAGACAGGAGGCGAGGGCGGTTGGGGGAATTAGGGGCGTAACTTTGTTAATCAATTGAGGTTCATCTTGAGGTTCTGGGTTGAGTTGATGGATGGGGAGAAGCGGAACTGGTCTCATACCATCCTAATTTAACTCTATAGACCTCATAGAATGGTAGCACAGGCATTACAAATCCTTTTAATTCACAGATTTGTGCAGTAGTGATTTGCCTGCAGAAATGTTGGAAAGAGACTGGGGGAATGCAGATGTGAAGAAGTCATAAATTTTTCAGAATTGCTCACGAAAAGAGCCAGTGAAATGACTATCTTCTCCGAAGAGGCTCGATTAAAATTGTACATTTAAACTTTTTTTTGAATATTGTAGCCGCGGAGAGAGTACTGCACAGGTTTACAAGGCATTACAGGGGATGAGCTATCAAAGATTGGGTAATTTGTAGCTTTTCTCTCTGAAATAAGGTGAGATGATTGAATGAGGACCTGGTAGAATATTTTAAGATTATGAAAGGATTTGATAAGGTGGATGTAAATACAGCTCTATCACTTGTTGGCGAGTTCTAAAGGAAGGGGCATAAATATGAGAACCAACAGCAGATCTAAAAAAGTTTAAGAGGAATTTTTTTATGCAGTGGATCTCGTTGCTGGAAGCTGCGGTTGAAGCAAAAAGCACCAATATATTTAAGAGGAAACGATGTATACACGAGGGGGAAGGCTTGTGATGTGGACCAAATCACCTGTTTCTGTGCTGTACCATTCCAATGTAGTTCTATATAATAATAAATGATAAAATAATAAATCCTTGCATTTGATATAGTGCTTTTCACGTCTTCAAGACGTCTCAAAGCGCTTTCACTGGACATACTGTAAAGTGAATTGACTGTATATTTGTGGGCGAAATGCAGCAGCCAATTGCGCACAGCAGTGTCCCACAAACAGTCATGGATTGAGTGACCAAATTTTTTTTTTGAAAGAATTATTTCCGGAATAGCAATCCGCCAATCGACTAACAACCGGGTTCCAACTTCAAACAAAGGCGTGTGGAGTAAGGAAACTTTCCCAACATTTCGCCCTGCCGGGAATGGAACCCAGGTCTCTCGCTTGCGAGGCGAGTGCTCTAACTACTGAGCTACAGGACTCCACCCTGGCTGACCCCACAAACCACAGCACTAACACAAGCAGAACAACACGAGTCTTGATTCATATTAATGGGCCATCGCTTATGAAAATGTATGAAGGTCATCAGCTCATTTATGGGATAGAGGTTTAATTCTACGCGTTCCATCAATCACAGTGACGGTTCTGACTTCATTAACCAGGAAATGCTCCCTGTGTTCGTTCTTGACATCAAATTGTTAATCCTTTGTATCGAACCAGAAGTCTCAGTCCTTTACAATAAGTCAAGTCTACAAATCGATGGGCAAAGGTATGCACAGCATGGAAAGGATACGCGGGACAATGTGCAAACAGTACATACATAGGTATTTATTTGGTTCCAGTGATTGCATGTATTCTGGCTATTGAATCAGTAGTTGCTTGGCAACTGATGGCCCAAGCAACCTTGTGAATCAAGTGAATAATGACAGCCTGATGAATACAGGATGCAACACACTGCTGTTAAGAACTGGGAAATAGCGAGCGGAGGCAAAGGATTTCACTTATTTTTAGTCTTCATGTTTGTGAGATTTTCCTTTTCATTATTTACATTTTATTCGATTGCATGATTGACGCTTGCCGAAGAGGCTCAGGTTGAAGATGTGCTTAAGTTCAATCTCAAAAGCAGAGCCGTACTGTTTTACTTTTGTGCTTTTTACGTTTATCCAGCCACAAAATATGCAGAATTGCTTGAGAATGTAAAAAAAAACATTATACTGGCAACAAAAGAAACAAAAAAATAATTATTCTACAGATTCCTACTAATTGGTAGAATGGGATATGTTGTTGGTTATATAATATAATGTTAAATTCACCCTGAATGCCAAACCTTGAATGATTGATCGAAGGTCCTTTACCTTCTTTGCTTCTGCTAATGAACAGCCATTCACGTTGTACACACATTGACAGTTTCTTGTTCCTTAATTTATCTACACAAAAAAAATCCATCTGTCAGTACTTGTCCATCTGTTTAATTGGCCCACATCTTTTTGAATGATTCATCCAATAAAGTGAGCACTTTACAATGTACCAAAATCATGCAAGGATGACATAAGACATATCAGAAAGATTTACAGCATCTGGTATAATTAACAATTCAGACTGCATTTAGGCAAACTTTTGTTTCAATCTAATCCTAGATTTTAAACCCAATTGTTCCTTAGAAAATGGTTTTATAATAATAATAGTTAATGCTTAACATTGTATAAGATTTTCAAATGTGGCACTATTTGTACATTGCTTGAAGATACCTTAGACCTTAGTGCAGAACAACATTCAGGCTTGTAGTAAATATACACATCTATGAGGTGCATTTACTGGGGTCATTCCAGCAAACATTCAAAATTCAAAATTGCTTCTAGTAGTACAAATGGGCAGAAAATGCTGAAACACGTGAGTAAGTTAGCTGGTAGCTTAACCTACAGCAAATTACAGAGCTAGTAATTAAGAGTTCAGAATTGGCAAACCTGAAGTGAAACTGGAGACGAGAATTGTTGCTTCCCCTTCACTCAAAGCCTCTCATTACAAATAGACACCCAGCAAATGGCAAAGGAACATTGTGCAGATTAATGCCTTCAAAAAACATAACATAACACGTAGGAGCAGGAGTAGGCCATTCGGCCCTTCGAGCCTGCCCCGCCATTCAATCATGGCTGATCTTCTAATCTACCTCCAGCTAAAAAGAAACTGGATAAATATGTAGGTTAAAAACAGCATTGAAAGTTATAATAATTTAAAGGCATAAGGGAATAGCTCAACACAACGGTATTTCTTGAAAGGTGCTATACCAAACAAAATTTATTGCTGTTGCAGCAAAAGCTCCACAGCACTTTCAAACTAGACTCTTCTTATAATGAGCAACAGCAGCTTCTACTAATCTGCAAGTAATTATGCCTAGGGTTGCTTGGAGTGTACATGGATTTATGTTGATATGGTCAGTCCTTTATAAGCAGAATGAATGTCCTACAATTATTAGTGAGTGAATTTCTCTGGGATNAAAAAAAAGATATTACGCGAGTTTGGTGTTTGAACATGAACGCTCAAGAATGGAACAGGGCATTCAGCCCATTTATCTATTTACTGTGTATTCATGTTCTGGTTAAGTCTGACCTATTTATGCCTTTGATTGTTCAGTGTTAGCAATATTGAACATTCAAACAGCTAAACAGAGGGAAGACACACATGTCATTTGGGATTTGTTGCTTTGTTCTATTGAGCGGTATTTCCACCTAATGGTCTATATTTTATTTATCTTTTGAAATCTTTGCTGCAACCAGTTAAACCCTCTAGGCAAAAGGAAGGCATGAACAGCCCACAAAGTGATCTCATTCCAAGCCAGAGTTCCCATGAGGTGACGTGACCCAATTCCAGTTGCTGGGTTCCATTTGCAACTGAGAGACCTTGTTAAGAAATCTCTTTAGATAGGATATTTGCCATGTTTTAGTCCACATTATCTTCTCCTGCAATACAACTTTTGCCCACAAAATATACAGTCACTCCACTTTACTGTGTAACCTGTGAAGCACTTTGAAACTTCTCGAAGACATGACAAGGCGCTATATCAAATGCACTAGAGGCTATATATCAAATTATATTTATTATTGATTATAGAAAAGAATAAAACTATATTGTTTGTTATTCCACAGGAGTCCTGATGGATTGAACAATACTTCAGATGCACAAAGGAACGCAACTGTAACTTTCACAATCCGACCTGGAACAAACCAACCGATAACAGTGCAGAACAGGACGTCAGATTTTGACAGTATGACAATTTTGAAACGGGCTCCGAGTCCTGTGGCCTCACTAACGGAAACGTGTCAAGCAGCCAGGCCTTCCTCTCTCCCAACTATACCCTCATCATCTACCCTCTCTGATGCCTTTGGCCAAAGTCAACCGGTTACTGGGGACGGACGATTTGTCATCCAGCCAGGCCGCAGTCGGTCTCCGTCACCCTCTACATTGCAGACGCCAGTCTCCAACAAACCTTTCACAACCAAGCCTGTCCATCTTTGGACTAAACAGGACGTAGCAGATTGGCTAGAAACCTTGAACCTTGGAGAGCATAAAGATGCATTTTTGGATAATGAAATAGATGGAACCCATTTACCATCGCTTCAGAAAGAAGACTTAATAGATCTTGGAGTGACTAGAGTTGGTCATCGAATGAACATAGAACGAGCTTTAAAACAGCTGTCAGACAGATAGACAAATATTCATTTGGATGCTTTAATCTACAACTGAAAGATTATTTCATTATTTTTGTCAACAGTCTACATTCACCATAGCTCTGGCTGGAATATAATGTGTGACTGAAATATTTTTAAACGCTCAGCATGAACATTTGTTCAAATAAGCCTCTAGTACATTTATAAGCACAATAAGTTGACCGTATCAGTGGCCCATCAGCCTGGTAACGACAGGCGCCACTGGTATGCTGAGAAGAATAGTGCAAAAGTGAAGATCCTTTTGTGATGTAAATATACTACAGCATAATCTATATTTTGAACAATGACCTTTTAATATTGACCTCACTTGGACATGTGTCTTAATGATACTGTAGTTGAACCAGCAGAGCTGTGTTATACTTTCTATCTTTGCTAGTACAGTATTTCTTCACAAGGATCACAGTCAATAATGTAGAAGATGTGCAGCAAATCAGCTAAACGTATTTCACTTCTCTACCTTTCCTTTGGACAAAGGTGATGCCGACCAGAATTCTTTCCTTTCTGCTGATCTCAGTCTTTATCATTTCCAGCATTGTGAAAAAAAAGTAAGAAGCTCTTTAACCTTTTCACATTTTGACATAATTTCGTATTACTCTACAACGATGGGTGCAGGAGGGAGGTGGGCACTGTTGTAGGATTTGTTGAGTTTTCCTTGAAAGCTAATACAGATTTTTTGCTATGTCTTTCCAATGCTGTTGACAGGAGCAGCTTTTGATAACAGTGACAAGGGTGTTGAAACTAATCATTATTGTCTTCCATTAGAGTGCAGGTGATTTACCACAATTATTTACTAGAGCGATGGGAATGCTCTGAATGGGCCATGTCATTGTTCAGTTGCAGAGCAGATGGGATTTGCTCATTCAAGCTGTGCCAGAAACACATCTCGCTTATTGGAAATGAAAAGGATTTATATTTGTCATTTTAGCTGCTATTTTTCACAGCTGTATAGGTTTATTCTGGTTAATGATATGTAATGTAATGTATTCCAATCAAGGATATAGCTGCACAGTAAATTAACTTTTGAATGTGCTTTGCCAAATGACAGGAAAAGTTCAACCTGAGCAGATTGCTTTGTAAGGCAATAGTAGTCGTGAAAGATACAGCCTGGCCTTTTTTTTATTATTATTAATGCTGGACAAAATGTCATAATTCCCAGCATAAAAGATTAATTATACAGTAGAAAGGGCAGGTGTTAGACACATTCTTACCGCCACCTTATGTATTCACACTTTAGGTCTGCATTTGTTACATATTGTAATTAAAATTTGCAATTACATGCTTAGTTTGTGAAATAATTGTGTATACAGTACCAAATCTCAAGATGTAAATTGTGTATAACATAGAGGCCTCCCTGTTCACAGGAGACTGAGTGCATTTCATACTATTAACTTTGACAAAAATGATTAGCTGTGACTGTTGGAACATTTTAATTCACAGGTTTTACATTTTGCACAGCTCTTAGTATTTATTTGTGGTACTTATCATTTAGCTATATACTGTAGTTGATTCACTGACTTCTCTGTAATTGCAGCTGCAAAATTATCCCAGTTGATCTGGCAATGATTACATCAATGAGCCTACAATATCATTTTCTTTACAAACAATAGTAATTTAATTTTTGCTAGTGTGTTAAGGTGTATCTCACTATAATTTGTGTAAAGACTTGTGTTCAGGTTATTAATGTTGCTGTAATTTCTGTGATTTATATATCCTTAACAAGAATTCATTAAGAGCTCCTGTAACTGCACTTTCCCCAACTCCTTAATAATCTTGTATGGCAACCAAATTATTATAAGAAATAAATATTATGCCGAATTAAAGTTGTATTTTTGACTGAAGATATCAATACGTTTTAAAAGAATTGATCTCCATTCTGTTTCCCTAACTAGGTTGTGTTTCCAATAACCAAATCACTTAAATTTTAGTTTAACTGGCTCAAAAAAAATGCACACCATTATATTCTTTCAATTTCCCCCTAATTCTTTTCTATCTTTTCTTAGGTCCTTCAATATATAGTATGCATCTTTTTACTGACCAAGAGAGCAGAGAGGCAACTTAATGTTGAAAATGTTTAACTTTTTTTTATTAAAAAGAGAACTGTATTCAAACAATGAATAAGAAAACAGTCGACTTAAATCAGTCCTGTGAAATGTAATGGAAAACTTTTGAGAGACATATAGTATTGAAGGAATCAGCTTGTGTTTTAGAGTTTTCCTAATGCAACGATGAAAGTTGCTCATTGAATTGACCAAATGACATGTATGTGATTTGCTGAGTGTTAATTAACGGATGGGAGAGAAGGACAGCATTGTGTTTTTTGATGTAAATGAGCTGGAGACAACCTGGAAAGGATGTCGTTGAGAGACATTGGAGGGTTGTAAAAAAAATAAGTCTCGCAAATGCCAAAAAGTTGAAGACAGCAGCAGTGTCGCAGGTTAATGTTAACAAGAGTTATCCACTCATTGCAAAATCTTCAATTGATTTTTTTTTAAAAAAAACCTTCACCATGTGAAAGTCACTGACTGCAGAAGTCTCCTCGCCCTTCGAAACAGGCAGTCACCTTCACCGCAGCATTCCCACCTAACTTCAACAAACCCGGTTGAAGTCAGGTGGCCACAGTTCTTTAGCAAGTCACCAACCAAATGATTTCAGTACTGTAATTGTTTAGTTTTAACATTTTTTGTTAGTGATTGGAATGGAAATGCCACTGTGAGCTTATGCAAAATGTGAAGTGAGTGTTTTGCAGCACTAAACTGAAATAAACATACTTATCACAACAAAGCATCATTCTCAAGTTGTGATCCGCTTAATACTTATAGTCCCCTTGGGGAGTGGGGGAAGGGGAGTGATGGTGGGATTGGGGTAGGGATTGGTCGGGAGATTATAACCAGGAAAAAACATAGCTCTGACCCTATTGGCAATTATTGGAGAAGTGATATTATGTCCGAATATCAATTAGTGTTCAGCTGTGCACTGGATTGACCGTGGAGGTAGCTACTTTGAATGTCCACTGCATGACTGAGTCCCCACTGACTGACCTCTGAATCTTTGGTTCTTGATTGCATTTTCTCTTTGGAATTTCTACTAAAATCCTTTCGAACAAATGGCACGGAATTGCTAACAGTGCTGGCAACTGTTACTCGCGGCATTGCAAGAGTTGAACATTTTTTTTCGGGGTCATTTATAAACCACCACTCTTAAGACTTTTTCCTCTTAAAACACGAATAATTGCAGTTCATTTTAAAACAAAAGATGCGGTCAACCAGATTTCAAAGGGGCCTTTGTTAATAGACGCGGAAGGCTTATTAGAAGTGTCGGAGATGTGCAACTTTGATTCATCGCTGACGACTCATCAGCAATAACCTGTAGAANTTTTTTTTCTACCTCAAGATGGGTTTGTAAACCACCCACTTCTGTGAAATTCTTACTGGAAAACCAAGCAAGCTGTTTCATCTTTTCACACACCCACGCGGAGAAGTAACTTGCTGCTGTTGAGCTGGTGAGTGGAATTTTACAGGCCTGCCCCTCAGTACTAAACACGTAGTGGGGAGACAGCACCAACTCATGTAATCACATTTTACAGAACCACTGCCATTAATACCACTCAAAGAAAAAGCTTGTGGTTTGGGTCTCGTGTTTTTCAAACAAAATCCATCCTGAGGCTACAGTACTACAACAACAACAACTCGCATTTATGTAGTGCTCTTCACGCCGGACGACATCTCGGAGCGCTTAACAAGCGCACTTGTTGTCACATTGAGTAACATGCTAACGTACTTGAGTAACGTATTCCCTAGTCACCACTGAAGACTATGTAGAAATCTTCTTAACATAGATGGAGTTAAACTCTTTTCGGTGTCATCACTGGCCTAAATCTGCACAGGTTTGCCTTGTATATAGCCCACAATCTTCCCATTATTTTTTATATATATATATCATGTCTTTAAGCAGAAAGGCAGTGACGAGGTGGGAAGACATTTCCAATATAGTGAAGCCACATTTACATTTTTTTTGCTCTACAGGAGCGATGTGGTTTCAGGCAGTCGTGCAAATAGCACATACGCCGCCACGCACATGCCATCTTCACTGTTAACTTTTCAACGCAACTTTCAGCTCTTGTTAATGTGGTTCAAAAAACAAATTGTCCTCGGTTGCATTTGCATTGAGGAAAGACATGGAGTTCAGGCAAGACACTGCTCCGAAAAGCCAGGAAACCAAGGGCAAATTAGACAAGGCTACTCTCACTGCATTGATAAATTGCACAGCAGCATTGGCAGAGACCTTGCTACAGGTTGTGTACATGGTCTAATTTGGGGAATTTGACCCGGTGTGTGTTTTTTGTGGGGTGGAAGAGTAAACGTACGAATTTGGGAGATTACAATTACCCAAATTAATTTATATTGCAAATATCACGAGTAGAACGCATTTGGTTTTGATATTCTCTCACAGATTTCGAAGGCCCTCTTGTGGTCAAACAAGAACTTGGAACAGTACTTAAAAGCTTTTAAGCCAATTGCATTGCATGAGGTAAAACTCAATTTATTTTTGAGATGGCAGTTGTATAGATTTACCCTGGAGGTTCTCTCTGCAATCAGCGAGAGCACATTCCGATTTCACAAACTCAACGCAACAAACGCTTTTCCCATTGGAGTGACCAAATTTATTTAGTCGGCGAACCATCCTCTTCGAGCTATTTTTAATGCCGATTCAATCAAATAATACACAGGAAATCTGCATTAGAAAAGTCTGGAACGCTGCATAATAATGAGGGAGCTCAGTGATCGAATTCAGTCCGTGATCTGAACAATCTTTATGATTTTGCCTTTCGATTTTCCAAGGCAGAACACAAGATATCTTCTTTTAGAAGCAGATCCTCTGAGATTATGGTGCTTTGTACTAACCCAAACGTGCAGTGAATGTTCTGCCTAGAATTCTATTGTGTTCACTGGTTACACTTTATTGGAAAGGCTTAATTTGTTTTGCATCATGATATATGTGACAGAAGCCCCGCAAAAATTGAAGTTGTCAAAAATGGTTTGATTCCTGGCATATTCTGCACATTACTTTGAATTAATTTCTTCTGCGATTGTCGCAATGCACATAATGCCCATTATCTCCAGAGCTACTTTATCATCAAGCACCAACTGGTATTTCTCTGGTTACATAAGATGTCATTACCTCGAGGGCTACTGATTATATGATATTAAATTAGATTTCAGAGCTGCAATGTATGAAATTAAAAGCAAAATACTGCACGCATAGTAACAACCAGTTGTTTTTAAATCTGCCCTTTTTTTAAAAAAAAATGGAGGAGCAAAAGCAATAAAGTCCACTGGCTACATTGCAGTATGTCAGTTGGATCTTGGAAAGGTGCCTTCACTGGAGAATCATGAGACAGGTAGATGGGATGTGGGCTTCACACCTTCACTGGACAGAATGGTGGAAACCGCCACTCTCTGGGGTATTTGATGAACCAAACCCAACACCACAAACAGGAAACGTCAATGATGCTGACCTGTCTCCTACAACAAGAAGGGCAGGAAACTAGGCTCGCGCTCATTCAATTAAATTGATTATAAATTGAGGTAAACTGCGAAGCCACCAACCCTGGTGAAAGACATTTACAAAGAGGCTAACTGTTAGTCCCCACCCCTCACAAACACATTTACTGCCGGCATTATACTACAATTCTCATATCTAATGTAAGATCAAAAGGATTCCACGTCCACTTGATAAGTGTTCATCAAAAGCCCTTTCAAGAGGTGACCTTTGATCAATAGAACATACGGCCCAAATAACCATACGCATTTCATACAATATGCTGCACCTGTAAAAGTTCTGATTCCATGACAGAAGAAACATCTTGTGTACAACAGAAAGGCTGCGTTTAGATCAGTTCAGAACTCTGTTATAAGTCGCATTTGATCCAACACTTTTTATTCAATAAGCACTTTTTAAGTGAATGTAATTAAAATATTACATAATATTCCGTTTTACCTTTGACATCTGAAAATATAGCCTCTCTTATTTATCTCAGTGTATTCACAACTATAATTCCCAATATTAAGTTCACTTGTTATTGGTGTTAGGTAAAGGAGTTTCTTTTATGAATAATGTCTCAATAGAAACCTGTAATTATGTTTGTTTAGTATTAGGTACTATATCAAATCAAAGTATGATTTATGGCAATTTTTTTTGATAAAGAGATCCAATTAGCTAACGTTATTTTGGTGTTTACGGTTGCAGAAAAATCCAGGTCACTCTCTAAATGGGGCTCACATGTTATTAGTACGATTCTCTTGCAAAACTCTGGGGTTGGGGTGGGAGGTTAACCTGCTGTAACCTTGCTTTACATTACAAAATCCATACACGTGTCATAGAGGTGGGGAAGAAACAAAATAAGTCAGTGCTGTGGCGCTAGTCCTGAATACAGACCTATATTCCTTAGCTTTCCAAGGAAGGTAATAACTTTAGGCGGCATCTAACGTACTGAAGTTGTGGAATTAAAAGCAATTGGTTTTCTTGATTGATTGGACGTGAATACAGCCTGATTATCTTTTAAGTCCTTGGATGCCTTGTTGAGCAATAGCTCCTTCAGAATGATCATTCATGTAAGACTGCAGCCCTTTCCATCTCCTCACTGTACCTGGATGTGGACTGCACATCATAATTAAATTATCACCCTTAGCCATCAAATTCTTTGTAAATGTCATACATCTACTGTATTTCTGACAATAGCTGGGTCATTCCACAGCAGACTGGAGTCCTTGACTGAGCCTTAACAATAGCCGAAACATGCAGCTACACGGCTGGTATTGTAGCCTTTGTGCGGATTGTGAAATGACGATTGTGAAACAGAAAGCGAGATTAAAAAATTTTTTTTCCGTATTTCAGTGCGGCAGCAACTCACAAGTGTAAATGTGTCATTGGAACTTAAATTACCTGCAGCTGCAATTAGAAATCATTTCAGTGCATTATGTATGCACTTTAAACAGCAAAACCTGGACAATTGAAACTGGACCCCACTTATTTCAGCTGACTGCTGGCATGGGGTTTGGCTACCCATCAGCTGGCTTTTACTGACTGCTCAATGCCGCGATTGAACACAGATCACAACAAATTGCATGTGGCAAATGCATCCTCAAAATATTACTGAAAGCCTCATTTTCTTTTGATGGGATTTGGGAGAATCTCAGCAACAGGCCTGATTATACCTCACCACATTGTTCCCGTGTGATTTTAAACGTGGGACCTGAAAGCCCCCATTCCAAACAGCACTCACAAAAAAATTCACAAGAACCCATTACAATTGTGGAATAGCCAGTTATTGAGTTAATTTAAATTGAAGCAATATAACTCTTTTGGCCTACACACTGTACATTGCTCCAGAGTTGGGAGCACTGAAATCCAGTCGACATGATACTTGCGTTTGATGCAGCGCTTTATCACTTTATTCAAATGTCACAGATTATAGCATTTTATTACCTTGTTTTATTGTTTCAAAGTCAGTAAATTATCTAGTTTTTAAGATTCATTCACTGTGAACAAATGGATCCCACGAGAGTGTCACATTCTTAAGATAGGATGAAAGTCATATTTTTCTTAAAGATGATGCACTTTCTCTTTCCGGATCAAAAGACAATAGAACAGCTGTATTGAAAGTTATGAATATTTTATGCTACTTAACCCAATTCAGTTCTTCTTTCCTCCATTCTCAAGACCAATAGTTAGTTTACATGCTGTCATTCAGCCCTATTGATCAAACATTAGCAGGTGCAAAATATTCCCGTTGATGTGCAATCAATAGGACTGAATGACAGCCTGTAAACTAATTCCATCGGTCTGGAGAATGAAGGAAAGAAATACTGAAAGTTAAGTAGCATAAAATATTCATAGCTTTCAGTACAACAACCTCTCTGTTGTCTTTTGATCCACTGAGAGAGATACAGTGCATCATTTTTCACAAAGATATAACTATCATTAATGATCATCCTAACCTTAGGTGACCAGCTCTTGGGATCCATTTGTTCATTGCGAATGTGAATCTTAAAAAAAATAGAAAATTTCCCCGAAACAATGAAACAAGGTGATAAAACGTGTTGGGCTTGAAAGACAATCCTCACCACTTGGAGAGAGACAATAGCTGCCAAATCTGGAATTCAGTCGTGTTGGACTTGACTTTAGTAAAGTTGATTAAAGGACAAACATGATGCTGTGATTTCTCATGTGGATGGGGAAATAACAGCAAACTCTTTTCTAAAAAGAAATTGAGCATCGCGGAAATTACTTTTAGATTTTTATTAAACTGCACAGAATAGGGAGTTAGATTTTTTCTGTTGACCAGCGCCTTGGGACACCTTTCCGACATGAAAGGCATTATCGAAATGTGATTTTGTAGTTGTGTATATATATATGATCTTTATTTCACTTACAAATATCTTGATATCTTTCCAATTCTTCCTCTGTCGAGTCGCATTGTATTTAATTTATAAGATGCAATTTACTGATAATAAGATAAACGTAAATTAGCTTGTGAAACCAAGTCCTCAATTCAAACCTTGCCATATATATATATAATATATATATATATTAAATACAATGCGACTCGACAGAAGAAGAATTGGAAAGATATCAAGATATTTGTAAGTGAAATAAAGATCAAAAAAGTACAAATAAGACAAGCCAGACATACTGCTCTGGCAAGAGCTGGTACCTAATCCCAACAGAGTAAAAAGGATTGCAAAAATTATGTTCGATATTGAAACCGTTTAAGAAATAGCTAAATAAAAGACCTACAAGTACAGTTCTTTTGTGTTATAAATATTTCACTTGATTAGAATAGCATTTTCTTTATCCTCTCTTTGCCTCATTTACAGTTTGGTTCCAACTGTTAAATCTGGAAGATCCCGGCCTGACACAACGTGGTAGAAGCCCTGTGCAGCTCGTGTTTCTATTCAGTCATCTATTATTTGTTTTGCTGAACGCATTCATACATACACAGCGCGGCAATTCAAATGATGTTCCACCAACACGACAGTCGAAATAAACGATTGTGAAACGTTCCTTGATGCCAACTGGCAATTGCAACAAGTTACCAAAAGAAAATCTTTAATTTGTTTTAACTGCCTGGGTCACAATTAGGTCAATAGCAGTTTTTATTACCAATAACAACTTAAATATTCCATCTAATTTATGCCCAGTTTAAAAAAAAACTTTGCTGAGGTCATTACTAATGCTGAGGAGTCCTTCTAATGCAGATTAGCGACATTACTGATTTATTAATACTGTACACTTATGCTTTGCTCATGTTGCTCATCATTAGACATTATAAAAATGTCTTTTATATTCATTTATTCTCTCTCAGTGGCTATGCAATGATCCAAACTCTACCACTTGGAGGCTCTTGTAAAATAACCTGTTCCCAGGCCTGTATAATTACTGAACACAAAATACTGGCGGATGCTGGAAATCTGAGAACACAAAACAGAAGTCGCTGGGAACACTCAGCAGGTCAGGCAGCATCTATGGAGAAAGGAAAGTGAGTCAACGATTCGACTAAGAGTCGTGGACTCGAAACGTCGACTCACTTTCCTTTCTCCATAGATGCTGCCTGACCTGCTGAGTGTTCCCAGCGACTTCTTTTTTTGTTCTCTGTATAAGTACTGGTCTGTCAGTGCAGTTATGCAAAAGAAATCTAGCTTGAATATCTTTCTGGTTCTCCTTGCCTTCTATTCAAAGTTCTTACCCTCCACATCCTCGTACTGATAACAACTATATGCCGGCATGTTGTGCTAGCTTTGCTGGCACAACTTCTCCAGGTAGCACAGTGGAACCATTAGGGACTGGACGTTAGGGACTGGACATTTGGGTGCTATCATAAAAGATTTAAATCAAGATGACTGTTATGGTTACATAAATTATTGTGTAATTGTTTTGACAATTTTACTCTCGCCTGCGAGAAGCAGCACCACATTTGACTTGTTTTTACGATTGCCAACCTTCAAGTGACTTTTGTTTGAACAAACATGCAGGACTTCATGTTTTTTTTTGTAAAAGACAGACTTTAACAATCTGGTGTCTTGACCAACAATTCTTCGGATAAATTGGGTCTTTCACGACCTTACTGGTTCAAATTGGCTGCTACATTCAATAGGCGTTGAACTGGTCAGCGTTTATCTTTTAAATGCTATGAGATGTTTCAACATCAGACACAATGTGAAACACAAGGATGATTAATGCAAACTGACATCCTAGAGCTTATGCTATGGATTCCTCATTGTGCTCTTTGTGAACAGCATTTAAAGCAAAGCAGCCAGATAGTGTATGTATACAGATCTCCACTATCCAGGATTCAGATGCCGGTTAATATTAATGTTATCAGAGAGCTTGTGAAAACTTTTGGCTCTTCATCTAGATTAAAATTTAAACCGCCTCTGTAAGTTGCAGTACAACTTAAAGCAATGCTACCTTTGCCATAAGCGAACCCTCTCAAATCTTTTAATATATTATGCAGTTTATATATTATGTGCAAATACATCTGACATTTCCACCGTCGAGAACGTTTTCTAAATTAACATTTCAGACTCGTCAAAAGGTTAAAGTGTAAAATCTAATATTTTGCATTAATTTTCAACAGATAGTGAATGGAGTGAGTACAAACTGTATTTTAATAAACTGAAAAAAGCTCAGATATTCCCTCTATAGGCAATGCATCTCACTACAGACTGAACGTAAGACATTGCATTAAAATACAGAAGTGAGCAGATTTCCAAAGCAAATCATTCCAACAATTAGTTGCTCAACATACAAAAATGAAGTCAGTACAAATGTAATGACTTTCTTTAAAAAAAAGTCCACAACTTAAATTTTACTAGAACAATTCATCTGAAAGTCCACTTAATCATAAGGTTAAGCCTGAATACTTGAGTGGAAACATGTTGAACATTTGTTCTGAGTTAAGAGTTTCTGCCAAATTTACAAATAGGAAGATTATAAGAAGCTGTACACTGAGTTGGAGGTAATAAGCCATCAAGAACATATTAAAGACTGAGATAGATAGATTTCTTATTGCAAAAGGGATTAAGGGATATGGGGATAAGGCAGGGTCAGGTTATTAGCTGGAGTTAGATTAGAAGATCAGTCATGATTGAATGGCGGGGCAGGCTCGAAGGGCCTACTCCTGCTCCTACATGTTATGTTAAGACAGTATAATAAGCAACTTGACTCAGCAGTTAACACGCTGAAAAATATGTGAATAAATGGTCACAGCTCCGCAGGCATCAAAATCAATGCAGTGATTTTAAATTTGAAAATGTGCATCTGCAAATACATTTGGTACTTGGGATAATCTGTTTTGAACACAGTTTATTCTCATATTCTGACTCACCTTCACTGCAACAGTCCTTCCCCCAGTGGCTTTAACATCTCTGAAGTTACTGGAACTCAATGCTGTGGTTTTCACTGCCCAGACATTCATTGTTTTCAGCTGAAGCAGCCTATAGTGTTGACTGAAGGTATTTTATGTTCCTTCACCCCAGTTAAACCCATGTGAGGTGCATGACCTGTATCCAGAGACGGAAGTCCTTTGTGTTTTCAGTCAACGTAAGTTAAACCAGAGGTGTCAGCCAACAAAGTGGTATTCAGCAGCAACAGGTGTGATAAGTTTGGGTTGAAGGCAAATCTTCGACTGTTTAGCTGATAGATACAATGTCAGTTCTAGGCGCCAGCTCCAGTGCTTTTGGCCATTTCAACCAGCACTTGCTTGAGATTCAAAAGCAGAACTACTTTCATGCAACTAGAACCAGTGCCTTAACAACTTTCAGGTGATGGCCACTGATTAATTATAGGATAAAGTGCACATTACCTTAATGGAGAGTAAATCAGCCAGTGATTGTGAGGTTGCTGGTTGACCAATTTGCACCAGCATTGCTCATGACAAGAGTTAGTCCACCCATGAACCATTGGTCCAGGGAGGCCGTCAGCTCAACATTGGGCACACAAATAGTGAATAGTAGAAATTTCCACATTCAATATTAATTTTTACTGGATTGCATACAGCCAAAAACTACACTACATAAACTTCAACACGTTAATAAAGCATGTTGTTTTACATAGATGACAACAGGACTGAAAACAATAAGTTAGTTAAGAACAAAACCTTCTATTCACTGAGGCAGAACATCACTGGTGCAAAACGGCAATCAATGTGCGTAGGTAACCTCCCCCACCCCAGTCCAAACTGTTCCGTCCCCACATGAATGATCACAAACTCAATTGAAGATGGATGAATGAATGACAGTTTGTCTTGACATCAAAAAGTTGTGTACATTTCATTTGGAGGACACTTGTATATGATAAAATCAGGAATAGTTTATTCAAAATTAAGATCAGTCACAAAATTAGCAAATTGGCAAATCTACACAAATGTAGTGCAATGAAGCCAGTATAATTAAGGATAAAGTACTGAAAAAGGCAACTTTTATTATAAAAACCCAACCCATTTGTGTTTTCGGTAAATACAGTCTCAAAGCATAAAATGGGCATCAATCACCACAGGAGAACTAAAACAACGGCAGTTTAAGAGTTGGCTAAACCATTAGTTTTACCAAACGACCGCCGTTCAGATCTATCCATGTGGCGGAGGCTAATGACTTAACATACATGAAGATATACAACCATTTCCATTTAGGTTTAACTTGGTCAACAAGCAGGGATTGGTCTCGATCTGCAATAAACATCATTTGCCTCTATACACTATCGGTTCAAACGGCCAAGGTCATCCATGACCAGAAAGTGCCACCGGTATTCAGTTTATAGGTACGTCAAATATTAATGTGAAGCTCTTATGCAACCTTCAAAAAGCATCAATATATTACGTGATGCATAATTGCAAACCAGAGAAAGAAAACGTTATCCACTTGCTGGAGCACAATTTATATTGCATTAAACTGGAACAGTGTATCGTAGTGTTAAAGCTAAACTAGTCACTGAACGGTTCATTGTTTCAGTTCCACGTAGTTGGCTGGAAAGAGACCATATCTGCCTTTGCACTCTCCCCGCCACCAACCCTCGTCGATCATCTCAATGTTTGTGATGAGATCATCAGGGTCGAAGGAAATCTCATCGTCACCCGCTGAAAGATTCAACGTTAACACAGATTTAGTAATGAAACGTTAGCTGGCTTTAAAACTGCACTGTTTTGGGGGAATATACTGACAATACTAATAATATTAAACCTTGCACTTGATATAGTGCCTTATCACGTCTTTGAGACGTCTCAAACTGCTTTGCAGAATATACTGTAAAGTGAATTGTGTTTTGTAGGCGAAATGCAGACAGCATACAACAGTGTCCCACAAGCAAACGTGGATTAAGTGACCAAATTATTATTTATTTATTTAAAGGGATTATTATCCCCGGAAAAGCAATTCGCCAATCGACTAAAAACCGGTTTCCTACTTCCTGCTCGGTAAACAGAGGTGTGTGTAGTAAGGAAACTTGTCCAATGTTTCGACCTGCTGGGAATCGAACCCAGGTCCTCTCGCTTGCAAGTTGAGTGCTCTAACCACTGAGCTACTTTACAGGCATGCAATGTATACAGTAACAAGAAATTGCCTTCTTACCGGCCTGGTAGTCATATAAAGCCACAGCTGTAATGCCATAGTCGTCATTTCCATATTCTGCATAAGTGGGTTCATCTGAAAATATAGTCGCATGTAAGATACAGCTTTTTAAAAAATATATTAAATGAAACAGACTGCAAAATAGAAATAACAAAATGTACATTGAGTTTATGACTTGAATTGCTATCAACGATCTCTCTTGCCTACGATGCCCTTTTAAAGTTTGAAATCCCCATTGCTGGGACTTGTGTTTACATAAGTATTTATACATACAGATGTGTGTTATATATTATGTACACATGCACACCTATATTTATATATACTCTGCTGAAATGAGCAAGATTTTGATGGGTTATTTGTAGGTGAATTGAATCAGCACCTATCAGAGCCCTGAAAAACTAACGTTCGACTTATTTTCGGCACTCAAGCCATGGTTTTCCAAACTGGATTGTAATCAATCAAACAGAACTTCCGTAACTCTTCATACAATGGTCACAAAGAGTGCCTAGCTCAGGCTAATGCGCAACAAGGAAGAATACTGTTCAAGGTATCTTTCACTGGTTTTCCAGCGTAAATAACTAGCACTCACTGGGACATACTCAATAAGTCATTTTATTCTGCATGTACATAGCGTCCCTCACGCAGGATAGTGTCCCAGAGCACTTGCGATACTTGGGACGGGAATTTATAGAAGCTGTTCATTATTTGGAGTTACCTCTTTGGTACTCTGCGTTCTCATCTGGCATCTGGTAAACCTCTTCTTGTTCGTACACGGCTTCCTGATACGGTGCTTCATTGGTGTTATAGCAGGGTTCAGGCTCATAGACATCAGAATACTGGTTATCGTGATGATTATCTTCCTCTTGTTCATACACTGGTGCCTCCTATTAAAATACACATTTGAAATCAGTTCCGTTAATGTTATGTCATGCTGATTACGCAATGTAATCCCACTTACTGCCAGAACCAGAGCTTTAGGATGGCTGAATATCAGCAACAGCAGCAAATTACATTTATATAGCGCTTTTCATGTCGGAAGGACGTCCCAAGACCCTAGACAATTAAGCGTTTGCATCCGAGCTGAGGGTTGGAATCAAAAGGGTTGGGGGATTGGGGATGAGAGTGTAGCCGAAGACACAGTCAAAGAGGAAGGTCTTGAATAAGTCAAACTCCGGGTTTCATTATGTAGATTAAGGAATTTTTAAGCAGTGTTTTGAGTTCAAATTCCAAGTCCTACAGTACTTTAGTTGCTCCTAGTTTCTGTGCCAGTGCAGAGTTTGTTTTGATGTTGTATCACCTCTAACATGTCGTCAAACATATGAACCATTAGGAACATTTTATCATTGGAAGTGGTCTGCGGGCATTCCACTATTACGTCAGATTTTCCGTGGCCTGAGTTTACTGCCGTCTAAACTGCAGAATTGCTTACACCAGTGATTATCCTGAACCTCAGTCATTCTTTTAGGTTTTAATGAAATACTTTTTTCACCACTGCAAATACTTTTCCTTTGGCCACCTCCTGGTTACATTAGCATTCACTGCCTACAATAATGTGCTGATGTAATTCTGAATCACCCTGTGCTGTTGGGACTGCATTGTTCAGCTCACAGTATCCCTTGTGTTGTTCTACTTGACATTAATTCCAAGTTTGACCTTCTCTATATCTCCATCTGAAACCGTGAATGTTTGGCCATAAACCATCCCTGGAAAGACTTCAGACAATTATTCAACTCATTGTAAAATTTATAATCCATCTCCTTGCAGTTGATATCAACAATGAACGAGTAAAAATACATTAAGCACATGAAATGTCTTATCTAATGATTAGGGGACACAACATGGGCTCCAGCTGAGAAGCATGTACAATGCTTGGTGTATTCGAGGTGTACATTTCACTTTAACAACATATGAGGTACAACCGAGAAAAAAAAATAAACATTTGTTGCAAGTTACCAGGAAGTGAACCACAGCAATGCCAACTCACCGAGTTAAAAATCAGAGAACCCTCACAACACCTTGGGCTTTGGCTTACTAGCTAAAGCCCTAATTGGGTGGAGTTTTCCCAGCTGGACAAGCAGTTTAGGAAACGTGCCAGACAGTGCTCACAAATGGCAAGCAATGCAGCTTAAACTCCAGCAGTGACCCAAAACTTCTCTACGTTGCAGATGCTGACAATGGGATGTTGTTCTGTCACTACGCAAAGCCAAAATTAACCTATTGCCTTTCAACAAAATTGGGTGGGGGTTCAAATTTAACGATATCTTAGCCACTATTAGCCGAAGTGTGGCAAGGCAGGGCTTACCTCATAAACTGGGCTGGGAGACTTTTCCTCTTGAACACGAGCTTGAGCTGGAACAGATGCTGGAAGTGACGTGGACACAACAGCTGGTTTTGGTGCTGATGCTTGCTCCTAGTTCAACCGGAAAAAAAAAATCACGACAAAGTGGTGCATTTAGTCAAAACGCAAAATACTGGCAGATGCTGGAAATCTGAAAACTAAAACAGAAGTCACTGGAACACTCAGCAGGTCAGGCAGCATCTATGGAGAAAGGAAAGTGAGTCAACAATTCGACTAAGGGTCGTGGACCCGAATCGTTGACTCACTTTCCTTTCTCCATAGATGCTGCCTGACCTGCCGAGTGTTCCCAGAGACTTCTGTTGGTGCATTTAGCAACTCATTTCTTCCCTCGACCCCACTCCAAATACAAAAGTTCTTTATTGATTACTAAGAATCATACAGATTTTTTTTAGGACATGCACACGTGTAGCTTTGTGAGATATTTATTAATTTTCTCCCTCCCTTAAGCTGGTGACTCTTGCTGATACTTGCCCAAGGAATCAAACCCAGTGTTGAACCAACATCCAAAATGAACCTCCAGCAATGAGTCAGTGGGTAGCAATCAAGTGAAGTAACCCCATGTATTACATTGGTCACTAAAACTCACAACCATAACATTAACAGAAATAAAAGTTCCATTTGCTGGAGCGATAAAGCCTCACGAGGGAATTATAAGTCACGAAAAGGGGACTTTGATATTGAAACCCTCAGCCAGTCACTGCCTTGTAATCGTGCTCAAGTGGCCATTATTCCATATAATTCCTTCTCCAGCAAAAATTGGATGTTACTTTAACACCGAAACTAATTTACAGGGAGGGTGCGCTCACTTATGACTAGCACAGCTCAGCTTATAGCCAGTGATAATGGAGTGTGACGGCAGTCCACTAAAGAGGGAATGGGTTTGGGCACTGATTGCCTATTCCCCATGTTATTAACTCATACGAAAAGAAGCTTCTAGAGCTGCAGATCTATAAAATTCCCACCACAACCCTCGTTTTTCAGATTGCATAACGCCGAGGATTGTGATATTTGTCACGAGGCCCCCAACACCCCGAGTCTGTCATGTGAAGCCTTGTGATAGTTGATATAAAGAGGACAAGGTTTTTAATGCTCGTTTTTCCCCCCCACCTCTTTCAAAAAAAATAATCAGGGCATTGTTCTTTACTCCACTAACCTCCAGTTTCCTCCTGGCTTCCTCTTGTTCCTGCTTTTCGGTGGCAAGGCGTCGAGCCCTCTCCCCTTCAACCTTCTTTCTATCCTCCTCCTCCTTTGCTTTGGCTATGTTCTCGAACTTGGAGCGGATGCTGGTTGCGCTCGCACTAGCGTTAGCTGTGAACAACAACAACAGCACGCATTTATATAGCTCCTTAGCTCCTTTCACACGGGGTAGGGTCCCGGAGTGCTTCAAAGGATCAGTGAGGAAGCTATGAACCCACTTCTGCACCGGTAATATGTAACAGGTGTGCAGAACTGTTGCCGTGCAGGGAACTGCTTGCCATCATTTCTGAGCCGTTGGAAGTCAACGTAACTGAAGGTGAAGCGAACACGAGGTTTTGTGTCTCGACGTGAATTTGGTGTCTCTACACAAACCTAACACTGCTGGTAGCAGAACTGAATCGTTGAACGTCCTTTACGTGAATACGGTGACACAAAGTCACGCTGCCCGCAAATCACAGGAGCCAGGTGAAGGAAGCTTTTTTGGGCAGTACATGTACATCCCCTGTAGCACACAATGCAAACACAAGTTTTTTTTTGAAAACAGACAAAGAGAAATGTATTTATTCTTCCTGTTAGGGTTTTGGTTCTTCCTCAGTTGGAGGGCAGGTGTGCTCCATGTTTACACAGCAGTGAGACTCAGTGATCAGACAGCAAGATTTATATCTCCGAGGCAATGAGTCACTGCGTCAGCAAAAAGATTTCATGTGGCAGCTTCATTAAGTGCGTTCTTACCTGTTTCCACTGGTTTAGTTTTCTGATAAGCTGGTGTTGGTCGTTCAATTTCATCAAATGTCGCCGCACTCTGCAAAAAAAAAGAAAAAAAACCCCAAACGAGTTTAAACATCAATGATTTCCTCAAAGTCACTGATGTCTCAACGTTAGTTAGTTTCTCTTCAGCTTTTAGCTACGGTGCAAATGGCGAGGTTGGAATTTGGACACACATAAGGTAGCTCCTTGAGACAGCCGCTCACTGCCTGTGTCTGCATCCCTCACACGTGCCACCACAAAGGAGAACGCATCAAAGGGGATATGATCACCCAGGCTAACTCACACCAGGTTTTTCCCTCAGGATTCACCAAAGCCGCCATATCAAATGCAAGGATTATTATTATTTGTTGAATCACCCGATCAGCTCCATTCATACATCTCCTCACGGGTGACATAATCCTACATTCAACAGGTTTTCCTGCCATTGCCGTTCATTCCAAAACCCAACACTCAAAGCCTTAATTAACTTTCCCGTATCACACAGGAGCCAGAGGTTATTGTCAAGTCAACAAGAATTATTTTCACTTTTAACAAAACAAAATGGTTCACACAGACACTCTGCTCACCTTATCCATTCGGTCTTTCTCCACTCCGTATTTGCCACCAAACCCTCGTGAATAATCTGAAGCAAGAAATTGGGAGAAAGTAATGCGTTTTGCACATGGGGGTGGAGGGGGAAGAGAGGGGCGGAGGGAGGTGAAAGCACAGAATCATGCACTTTGCCATTTCATGAAATTAAGCCAATCAAACTGAACGCAACAAGCTTTTAAAGAGATCGACGTTCAATTACGCTCGACTGACTGGATTATCCACGGAGAATGGATTCATGTTGATTATTAATTCAACATCAATCATCCGTCTCTGTGCTCTTTGAGTATTTACAAGTGAGGTTTTACAATTGGGACATTTAGATGCGTAATCAATTCAGCCAGTCAGTGACTACAGCCACAGCAGCCAGCCACACATGCCAGGAACATCCATTCGAAGTGAGAGGTGCTGATTGATGGTTTGGATTGAGGCAACGGAAAACGTGAAGCAAAAATAAATCTTAGAGATTCAATCGAGCAAAGGCACGGGTAAAGAAAATGCACCACAGTGCAGCACAGACCTTCAAGGCATTTCGTTGAAAATTACACTTGTCATTCAAGGTTAATGAAAAGATTGATCCTGTCCTCCTAGATTCCCTACTCTCCTGTCATGTCGTACCAAGCCGTTTCTTTTTTTCCCCCCCCACCCCCCCAAATGTGAATTTAAAATTGTTTCGCGTGTGTGTAAATAAGTAGGGAGGGAATCCGCTGCCCGACTGACCCGTCAATAAGATGTGGAGGTGCAGACGCCTCAACCGTGCGAGCTAAAATCTGGCTGGGTCTAGCTGACCACAAGTACTATGTGTTTGTTTCCTTAAAAAGTCACAAAAATGCAACGTGCACCACAGGGCACAAAAATGAGGAGCGAGGATAGAACCATTACTGCCATATCTAGTCACTCCTCATGACCAGAATGCTATCTTGTATCAACAGCAACAGGACGCATCCAAGCAATGTTTGACTGCATCCACACAGGCTTAAAATAAATCTGTCAATCTGCCAGCACGGATGGCACGGAGGACAGAACAATTGGCTTCAGCATCACTGAGCTGGAGGGTATGGAGGCGAAACGAGAGGGGAGGAAAAAATATAACACACAGAGCGCCTGCTCCCAGTACAAGCTTCATGTTTCTCAAGCGTGAGAGTCAGGTGAAGACGGGGTCGGGATCAGCTGAATAACCTACTGGGTCTGTCTACCCTCACACAAGAAGGTTGGTAACTCAGACACGGTATTGACACTGGGGAGCCAGCACACCCTGGTTCCAGTCATTAACTTCAAGAAAGAAGAAAGGGAAATCACAAATTATCCACACGCACACAAAACAAAAAAAAAACCTCTCAGTTGCACAATTATAAAACCTAAAGAAAATGATTAAAAAAAAAGCCAGCAAAGCATCTGTGCTGGCAATGTAGTGCGTAGTGAAGAGCCAGAGTGGGTCTGGGTCAGACTGTGCCTTTTTGAGATTCGTGCCGGGCCAACTTTTCCTTGTACTCGAATCCCACAGCAGATTTGTCCTGCTTGTCTGTCTGAACACCGTATTTTCCACCAAAACCTCTTTTATAATCTGTGAATTCAACATGCGTCCAGGACGAGGCCAAAAGAAAAGGGAACAGAACAGGTTAGATCAGACACCAGGAAGACTCGAACACAAAACAAACCACATCTGCAATTCTACAGAGAACACAAGCACAAAACAATGGAACAACCATCGCAACCAAGTGCAGCACACAAAGGGGCTGAGGGACCGTGTAAGGGCAAGCGAGGCCTGAATAAGCTGTTGTTTGGTCACCTCAGGAATATTTTGGACGCAGTTCATAACAAACCAGCACCACTAGCGTTCGTTCTTAAGCGAATGTGCTCAGTCTGACACCCTCAGCATTGCTTAGCTCGAGAGTCAAATATGAAGTGAAACGCGTCTTAAGAAGACACAAGCTGAAATCTGGTGAATTGTTCCTTGGACGAAGTCAAAATGAGGGAAATTTAAACGAAGACAGACACACACACACACACGCACGCACAAACACACACAACAATGGAGTTGGCCTTTGAAATGCCATGTAATACCACAGGGAGATTGGACACTGAGGTGAAAAAAAAATAGCTAAGCACAGCCTAAACTGTTGCCACAATTGATCTGCAAACCTGGTCGAAGGGATGATGGGAGTTGAGCTTTTTGTTGTTGTGGCTCTCCGATGCTTTTGTTGTGAAAAATCGGGGGGTCAGCGTATATTTCTGTGACAATCCTCACCAGTTGCTTTGTCATCAGCTGTCCTGACAACTTTCACCGTCAGGAAAATAAGCTCCAGTGATCGCTGCATTGTACATTGTACCACGAGAGTTTATAGTAGCCGGCACATGATTCAAACCCAGAAGCTTCTGGCAGGTCTATATTTGTTCACTGTCATTTGTTACAGTGAATGCTTCGTTAAAACACGGATTTACATTCACTAACATCAAGATCTGATTTGCGGTACTTCTTAAAAACGCGGTTCCTTATTACGGAAAGCAAGTCGTGCAAATAAGGATTCCGTCTGCTAACAAGATGTACGCCTCACTGACACCCCACCCACCAGGACTTCCCTTCAGATGCCTTTGCGTTTCAGAAATACTGCAAACCTGAGACCATGAATCTCGTGTCTTCATAAGAATTGGAACAGAATTGGGTCGCATTATACACCAGAGGCGACTGAACAACAATTATTTGAGTTCTCGCTCAGGAGGTGTTGATACAGCAAGATGCAAAAGGGAGTTTTTTTTAAAAAAAACAAAAAGAAATTTTAAAAGGTATTTCATTCTATACCACTGCCTCCTCACTAATTCAGAGCTTCTCCCAAGTCCTGGATACTTGTTCACTGTCACTACAGTGAATGTTTCAAGCGCTCTGGGACGCTATCCTGCGTGAGGTGTGCTATATAAATGCAAGTTGTTGTTGTTCCCAACTTCAACACCAGCTACAATAACCTTCGGTATCAGCATCCTGCCTCTCAGTGGATGGTACATTCGGGCTTTTTATTAACTAAATTCTAAAAATGCCACAACTTCCAACCGTTTATCCCTTCCATCATATTGAATCAGCTGCCTAATCTCATTTTATTCGGAGAAATTGATTTTTCTTAAACATCGCAAGATTAACCCAATAAAATTATCTATTTTGCCACTGAAACAGAGATGGGAAAGTTCAGGTCAATTGCTATTCTCTTTGCTTTTACAAGCATTAAATTGAACAGCCATTTCTCAAGTCTCTCGCTTTTTTTTTCCTCCCCACCTATTATTTTTATTCCTCTCTCTTCTGTCTAGTTTCAATTTTACGACACTACTCGCTGGGCATAAATGAAACCAAAACAATTTTAAACACAATTATTACTTTCCTCCAATCCATAGGAAGTATTTCCTCTTGGTCCAGACCTAGGTTCAACGGAACCCTTGAAAACAAGGCTTTTTATGGCAAGTATCCTGATCAGCTGCATTTACAGTGTGGTCTGTGCCCAACTGATGAACAAAAGCAATCAACGCAACTGATTACTCAGCTTGTCCTCCAGTAACAGTTGAGGCTCGCTATGCTTTACGCTCTTGAGAGAAAAGCCAAAACAAACAAGAGGCGCTAAATAAATCGACGGGACTTGAAAAAGTGCACTGCCGAGTGGAGGAAACAATCGCTTCTTCAATAGCAAACTCATCAAGTTAATCCATTATTCACAGAATGTTAAGGCACAGAAATTGGCTTCTGAGTTTGCCTGCACAATGCAGTCACTACGCTTTGCAGTATATCCTGTGAAGCGTTTTGAGATAATAATAATAATCATAAGGATGGTGTGCAAGATGCCACATTAAATGCAAGGTTCATTATAACAGGTCATTCGTCCCATTAAATCTGCACTGGGATGTTTTCCTTTCAAGATCAACCCGTCAACAAGACAAACCATTGCTGGTTCCTACATTGTTGGGTTGGATACATACTGAGCACATTGTTCGATGAAGAATATTTACCTTTCTGAGATTCGTGAAGTTGCACCTTTTCTTGGTGGTCCCAACCCAAGGCCATCTTGTCCTGTCGATCTGTCTGCACACCGAACTTTCCTCCAAAACCTTTGACGTAATCTAATTGGATCAAGTCAGAAATGATTAGCTAAGAAGTGGATAGCAGCAGCAATTAGTACAAAACACACACACAAAGCTACAGTGCAGAAGGCAGCCAAGGTACCTTACGTGTGCCTTCATTCTATTATCTCCTGACCTGCTTAGATTCTATTCAGAGGGTACACCAACTGATTCGGATCACAAGCAAGCTCGCCATAGACTACACACAACAAAATTTCTGGCTCGGTTCGATTAATCTTTTTTTTGGAAGTCGAAGCACAAACGGGAAAACATGAACAACCTTTCTGAGATTCGTGCTTTTCAGTTTTCCCTTGGTATTCAAAGCCAACCGCGCTTTTGTCCACTTTGTCCTTTTCCACTCCGTATTTGCCACCGAATCCCTTCGAGTAATCTATAGGGGACAGAGAACGAAAGCGATGTTTTTTTTTCTGCTGAAAGAAGATGGTGACTTCATGCAAAACTCACGACGCAAAGCAATTCTCTTTTGACTAAAGAGGAAACAAAAGCACTGACTCACTTATAATAGTATCTGCCAAAATTCAAGCGTATCATATAAAAATTATATCTTTTTACCTTGTGGTATAAATACTGAAAGGCAATTATTTCAAACCAGCTGTGCACTACAATGGTGCACATACGAGCTTTCTACTCCACCACAGTCACCATCAAGACGGTTAACCTTTTACACAAAGCAAAATTGCTATAGAATTCTCTAACCTGGAGTGAGCAAAGACAGTTACACAAGAAACGTGTGCCAGGATTGATGCCACGAGAATGACCGAATCGATAATTCAATTACTGCACCAGTTTCTTTTGTAAACACGCAAATGTTTCATTTGCGTTGAAAGGCGATCAGATAACAGCGAGAGATGTTTCAAATTACCGAGGCTGCCATTAAACTCGATAGGTCAGAGACAGCTGATTTCACAACACAGTTCTTAAATAAAATTCCACGCTAAATGTGTCTAAAGACCCAAATGGGTGCAAATTCGGTTGGGTCCTCGAATTATTTAGGAGCAGTTACAAACTTAAATGCTAGTGATTGAAACTTAGAATTTGATTGAAGTTTCAATCCACTTTGAAAGGATTGATCCTTGTAATAAGGGAACCTCTAACTAAATTTCAAGCCCAAAAATGCACAGACTGAGGTGACTCACGTCTACAAACAAGCAAGCCTTTGTTTCCTGTTCCGCTTCTGGAGGAAAAGATAAAACAATTACATACCTCTCTGGGACTCATGAATCTCGGTTTTGCTCTGGTAATCGAAGCCTAGCGCACTCTTGTCCACTCGATCTGCTTGCACTCCATATTTACCCCCAAAACCAGTACTGTAATCTGAATCATACAGACAGCGGGGTATCAGCAAATACAAGAAGATTATATTTGTATTGTTCCTTTCACGTCGGGAGGACGTCCCAAGTCACTGGTAATGCATTTTGCACGCCTTCATCATCAACATTAAATAATTGCAAGATCTACATCATATACACATGGTGAAAGAATACTTGCAAAAATATTGGTGATCGGGTAAGATTTTGGGTGGTTTGATTTAAAAACATACTCAACCAGGAAGTCATCAATTTAGATTTGGTTACGATAATTTCAGTGACATTAGTCATCACCCTCAGGAGATATATGGCCATTGGGGCACAAGCACAATTCAGGTCTCAGTGAATCAGGAGAAAATGAGAATCACTATAAGTGTTGAGACGCAACAAAAACTCCTTAATACTTATTGCATCTGTTTAATGTTCATGGAATGCATTTTTATTTAAAAAAATACAGAAACAAAGATAACCAGATATGGAGACAGGCAAAGGAATTGGCACTTGAAAAAAAAGCAGAGAAACCATTAGACAAGCAATCAAAATGATCAGGGCATCAGATTGGGTGAATACATGTCAACTCAGGCACAAGGTGCGTGCACCAGGTTATCAGGGAGACCTGAAGATGTGATACTCATGGGAACATGCACAGAATGTGCCACAAGAATTCACATCAACACAAAAAAAAAATTCCCCACGGATCAGAAACAAAAACGTGTAACGGTTACGAATGAGAACAGATTCTCCTCGACATTATTTGGTTCCACAATCACATCCACACCAAAACCATCCCGACTATCCTTGGAAACACAAAAGTACTGTACCTTTTTGTGATGCATGTTTAGCAGTTTTGCCTTCGTATTCAAAGCCCACTGCAGACTGCATGAAGGTACAAAACACATTCATGAACATTCAGATTAAGTAACAACATTGTGCTAACATATATTCTTCAGGCTTGGAACTCAGTCTTTTTTTAATGCAATAAAATTCTGCACATTTATCTGTCTGCATGTATCCCAAGTACAAATACAAAAGTTAACCTGGGAGAGTAAGATTAAATAATGAAACAGTGAGGAAAAAAAACCACGAGCTGACTTACACGAAAACTCATTTTCACAAAGTCCTGAGGTCCGGCTACAAAGCTCTGTTTGTCAACTAATCAGTGGCAGGTTGGTTGTGGTCGCACGAACCTAAAACCATGCACTTCACCAGCAAACACGCAGCATCAGCAATTCTCTCTCCATCGAAAATCCCTGCTTTCTTTTGATTCCGTGGGATTTGATTCAGCTCTTTACCACCCTGCTGATCAGCCCATCTCATTCTACTTCACTCCCATTTCCGAACCTCTTGCATTTCAAATCACCTTTTTTCTGATGTTTTCTCTTAAAAAGCGTGAAACCTCTGAAACTGAGGGTTCTGCACATTATGAAATATCTGAACTCCGAGTGATGACATTAGACACTTTTACACTGCACAGTAAGCAGCGAATCAATGCTAAAATTCAGGTGAAATCTTTTTTTAAAATATAGGGGCTTTAGTGAATTACTCTGTCCCATGGAATATTCTGTGAAGCGCTTTGGGACGTCTAGAAGACGTGAAAAGCGCTATATCAAATGCAAGGATTATTATTATTATAAGTGGTTGCAGAAATGTGTCCCACAAGAAATCTGTGACATTTCAAAGGAACTTTCAAACTTAAAAATAAAATTATGCTTAAGAAGTTTTCGTTCTATCGATTGGAATTGGGCGTTTTGAGATTATCAGAGAGCAGTAGGTGTAGTACAAGGAATGTTCACAAAAATTATCTTAAAATTAACACAAAACACACCCAGCAAGTCATTTCAAGTGATCGCAGGTTGAGCCAGTACTTACCTTATCAACGCGGTCCTTTTGTACACCAAATTTTCCGCCGAATCCTTTTACCGAGTCAGTCTGAGAGCAGTGCTTGGAGAGCTTAGAAACATACTCATGTCCTACAGCAGACTGGGAAAGATTAGAGAATCCCACATTGAAACAAAACCGTCAACAAAGCAATGAATGGTGAGATTCAAAATAACTACCGGACGCGCAAACACATCGAGCGTAAGATACAAAAATTACAATTATTTTCAAAACAGAGAATTTTTGATACTTTAACACCAGACGCAGCATTAGTTATTTTCTCAAATATTCAAACACCCGATAAAAACATTTATCACTTTAGACCCATTTGCTGAAACAAGATTTCTTGACCACCCCACCCAAGTGTTTTAAACGAACAGTCAGCAGGAGCTGTTATCTTTTTCACACAGGGTCCTGTCCCCTCAAACCAGCCCATCCCAAAAGAAGAGCTAAACACTGGCGAGCTGGTTCGGGGTCCTTTTCGGCGGCTTTGGTCGAATTCCTCACTTTAATATTTACTGGCAAAGCACATACCGCAGTCAAACTACACCACTGTTAAGAGCTCTGTGACGCCACTCCTCATCACTCCACATTCAGTCAACCCAAGACTGTGTGTGGGACACTGCTGTGCCCGGTTGGTTGCTGCCAACCTACCAACCCGCCCGCTCCCTCCGCTCAGCCGGCTCCGGCTGCTCCACATCCCCCGACCCACCCGCCCCACCATTGGCGGGAGAGCCTTCAGCCATTCTGCCCCCAACCTCTGGAATTCCTTTCCCCAATCACTCCGCCTCATCCCCTCCTTAGCCTCCTTCAAGTCTCGCCTCAAAACCCTCCTCTTCGACCGTGCCATCGGCCACCCCCTTCCCCTCCACTCCCTCCTCCCCACCCCCAGCTCGGGTCTGAAATGCTGTCACTGTCCAGTGCCTTGGGATGTCCTCCCGACGTGAAAGGCGCTATACAAATGTAATCGTGTTGTTGTTGCGGCGTTTCACCCACAAAACCGTCAATTCACTTTACAATATATTGTGTGAAGGGCTTTGAGACGTCTCAACGGTGTGATAAGGTGCGATATTAAATTCAAGGATTATTATTATCATCAAGGGTGCATTCATACCTATAGAATTGCAAGTTGTTCTCGTTATTTTGCACCGAGAGTTCCATCCTTTGCCATTACACAGAGCTCCTCAATAGTATTACACTGGTTCAGGCGACAAATATGAGTGGAGCATCAATGGGAAGCTACCCAAGTTACTAGTCATCTACTTGTTCCAAACCTTTCAATGGCCTGTGTTAGACGGTCAGTACAAGCAGATTGCTGTTTCAGTGCAAGTAATTTATCATCATCCCATTTCCATTGGGATTGAAACAGTAGTTTGTGAACTGCAGGAGGAAGTACAGAAACTGGCAGAATGTTTACACAGAATCATTTCCCGATTTCTTATCAGGTCCTCCTGCAATAATAAAAAATATTCTCAACCAGGAAGTGGAAATGGAGGGGTGGGAGGCAAAGCAAGGGAAGAAAGAGACAGATAAAGGTGATTTCAGTGCTGCCAATTGAATGAGCTGCAACAAAATGTGCAGGAATTTTGAGTATGAGAATCTCTGGAAGCCTACCAGCACATTAATAATAATAATGCTTGCATTTGATACAGCGCCTTAACACATCACTGAGAGGTCTCGAAGCGCTTTACAGAATATACTGTGAAGTGCAGTGACTCTAGATTTTGTGGTTAAAAACAAGAAATCAAAGCCACGGCCAGAGAAAAATAAAAATCATTGCCCGGGCACATTGACAGGCATTGCACATCCTGCTGCTCCTGAAATCATGGGCGCCCATCCTTCCCCTCACTGCAGGTCATGTTCCACAAACCAGGAATATTACAGTCAATGTCCTCAAGCTCTCCAAGCTTCCAGCAGGCTCTCAACTGTATTAGTGGCTTATAATGGCAATTTATCAGGATGAGGAGCAGCAGAGAGTTGGAATGAACCTGTGGGATCAGCATCTTTAAAAGATCCAAGCATGGTCTCGGGGACAAGTCAAAGTTTGAAGCATGGAACAGGTGCAGGAATGCTTGCTGAATGACTCAGAAGGCGAGATTATTGAGCAATCCCTCCTATTCAAGCCATAAAATACTATCTTCTTCCCTGCCAGGCTTTACCAGAACAGATGGAAGGTGGTTCACATCTCCGAGCAAACCCGGGGGCACAGAGCAGTTCAACGTGTGGGAATCGGGGTTTGTACCTGCTGCGGATTTACCCTTCCCCTTAGCTGTGTTTGAAATGCAAAGCGATAGCCTGGAGCGCTCCAGGGCTGGTGTTCAGGGATATCACTCAACCGGCATCGCAATCCTCAGTTAAAAGAAATTTCCCGCAGTCACACAAATTTTTAAACATGCCAAACACTTATTTTTTTCTTTTTTTGAAAGGCTTCGGGGTTTTCTCCTCTTTTCTTCTACCAGTCAGGTGACAAAAGTGCTTGAAACGTCATACAGACTTCATATGACAACATTCGGATAATCCTTATAAACACATTCAACCGGCTCTTTCACTGACACCGTCAGCTATAATATAGCCTTCAATTCAGGCAGCTGCCTCAAACCCTTCTCGCAAAATAATACAATAATAAATAATAATAATCCTTGTATTTGATAGAACATTTTTCACATCTTCGAGACGTCTCAAAGCACTTCACAGAATGTACTGTAAAGTGAATTGACTGTATATTTGTGGGCGAAATGATAGGCTATTGTTGATAGGATGTTAATAGGCCAATCCTAAAATGATAGGCTATTAGGATTACAATCCAATTACTTGATCACAGAAACAATATAGTTTAAGTGATGGCTTTGGGCGCTCTGTTGGCTAAGTGTCTTTTACAACCTTCCTAGCTACTCACCTTGGCCAGATTAATCTGTCTCTAGACTGTAAAGAACAAAGAGGTTCTTTTTACATAAAGAGCATGTGGGCAATTTGAAACGAAGATGGAATCCCTGCCAGGAAGAAACTCAGAACTGACAGAAATGCGACCAGCTTTTGTGCAACAGCTCAAAATATTTACCATCTCAGCCACAGAGGTGAAAGGGAAAAGGACGTCAAACACAAGTCATCAGAGGAAAGGAAGAAAATCTCAAGCAAACAGAAAGGCAATCAGTATGCCAATAGAGAGACCGTAAAAATCACCTTGCAAGCATATCACCGCACAATCTTAAAGTACACAGCTGATTTAATTTGTTCCATTAAAATAGGGTTTGTAAAATCTCTTATCAGAGACATGCAAAGGTCGATACCCACAACAACATGTATTTATATAGCGTCCCTCATGCAGGCTTGTGTCCCAGGATGCTTAACACCAGGATTTATAAAGGAAAAACATTCCCTCAAGTTCAAATGCGATGAGAAAGGAATGTTTTTGCACACTTCTGAGTACCTTATCCATGCGATCGTCTTGAACACCGAATTTCCCTCCGTACCCGTGGGATGCTTTCGGCCCATCATCCAGCTCTTTCTGCTTCAGTGTTTGGTGTTCCTGAGACACATTTTCCCTCAGCGTCTGCAAACTGGAAAAGCACGAGAGTGGGCCGATACAACACCAGATGGGAAAAAAAGCGGAGTAAAATAACACCCTTTGAGCAATACCATTTGAGGAACTCAATCCCACGTTCCCTTCGCCTCGCTTCCTGCTTTGCCTCCTTCAAGGCTCGTCTCAAGACCCTCCTCTTCCACAGCGCTGTGTAAATGTCGTTATGTACTGTATCAGCCACTTCCAAAGCGCAGTAAACCGTATACTAAATCCATATTGGGACCATGAAACTTCAGGCCCTTTAAAGAAATGGTGTCATGGTCTCTATAAGAGAAAAAGGCTTCGGTACATCTACTCCCACTGCCCTCCCACAAGTAGTAATTATCCATTTTTAATGAGCAAAAGTCATGCGTGTGGACACCCAAACGCCTCATAGGAAGCGTTCTGCAGGAAAAGCACCACATCAGCTGCAATGAGCAGCAGTCATAATATAGGCAAACTGTGCAGTAGTTCTATAAATGTCTCGATCACCGACATGCATGGGGTGGCCTGTCACTACAGGAATGATCATTAACGCAGATTTTATGGCAATTAGATTAACTATAGATACTAATTAACTACTGGGGTGAAATATATTAACTTTTTTTTAAAAAAAATTGTAGTCTTGTTTCAGCTGGAACCTTTACTGTACTTTCAGGTAAAGCTTCCAACATAACGTTTCTCTGAAATTTCTCTCCCCTGCCACCAAAATAATGGAATAAAACTCTGCGACGTCGAGCAGTGTAATCCACACTCTTCCATTGTAGTGCTCAGCTCAACACAACAGTAGGTGAACCTCTTTAACTTTGAAACAACCTGTTTTTCTGGTCTTGCAGCAATAGGTACGAACACTCTCAAAAATCATTCCTCTTTGAATCACCACCCATTAATACAGTACACAAAACCAAAGCTTCCCTCTCACACCACTCGAGAATCAGAGCTACTTCCACCAGTTCCCAATCACAAGCAATTGTGCCCGGGGATCTCTGCTCCCGTCTCCAGCTTGCACTTTGTTTATTCAATCTGAGGTAGGAACATTCTTGAGTTTTATTTACCTGTAAGTGCAATCCCGAGAAGTGCACACAATAATTACCCACAGGAGTCCCTTAATTGTTCGGCCGGATTCTTAGAACTACGGCCCTCAATTAACCAAAACACCCATTAACTCACCCTTTACCTGAGTGAATATCCCAGAGAATACACTTTATTGCAATATTAAAATATCACTTCTATGGTGTGAAAACAAAGTTCTACAGACAAGGTTCATAGACACTGAAAGTCTGAGTATCAAATGCTTCCTTTTTTTTTTTATTCGCCTCAAAAAGTCTGAGTGCCTGGATAGGACAGGGTCCAACATTTAGCAATAAAGAACTTACTTGATGTGTGCTTGGTGTCCGGATCCTAACACTGTTCTGGCACCCCATCGCTGTTCTTTTTCAGACACGTCGTTCTGACGAGCAAACACAGGGAAAAAGGGTGAAAACATTTGCCAATAAAGATGATCGATGCACAACACGTCAAAAAAAAAATCCAACTAATCCAAACAGAGGTGAGAAGACGCTTCTGATTCATGTGCACAAACTTACAAAGAGAAAATAAAGCCACCAGCTCACTCCACCTAATGTTAAAGTGAGATAGTTTGCGCCTCAACAACGTCAACAGTTTAAGTCGTTGCCGTCATGTCCAGAAGCTGTCTGTCTCACACCTGACTGTAACGGTCCCCAGCCAGACCGCAGGACAGCTCCACAAGTGTCAGCGTGAACCGAATAAGTGAATACAGGGGTGGAGCAATACTTCCATTAAACAGCTGCAGTTCTCTTTAAAGATGACAGACTCCCTCTACCACAAAATAGTTGGCAGATGACTAGCTGGTCCTCTCTCCACAGGGTATTCAGCGCAACTTCGACTACCATCTATTTTTCATATATGAGCAAATAACAAACGCTGAAGAGATCGACTCCTCTCGCATGAAAAAAAATGCATCAAAGAACTACAGCCAGTGCCAAAACTCCACAACAACAACTTGCATTTACACAGCGCCCCTCCCTCACTCGGTTGACCGTGGCGGAGCACGGCACTGAGCCAGGGGGGAGGTGGTGACTGCTTTGCCAATATAGTAAGTATGTCGCGCAAAACAGATTAGTAATTAAAATAAAATGTTCCTCATTCCTTTTTATATATATATATATATATATATATGAGTCTATTCTGTGAAGTGCTTTGAGACGTCTAGAAGGTGTGAAAAGTGCTATATCAAATGCAAGGATTATTATTATTATATGTGAAAAAATAACTATGCTGCATATCGAAAGCAAAAGAGGTTACCTCAAAGTCTGGGTCTGTGTCCCAGTCATCTCCAGCGTCAACTTTGGGGGCCACGCACACATTGTGTCCTGCAGCAGCTTTCCACATCTTAAAAATAAAAGAAATGCTGCAATGACATTCACACCCTGTTACCGTGTCACTTGGCTCCGATAGGAAGAACACGGAGATACAATCAGAAGACGTAATACACAAACATTAACCACGGAGTTAGATAAGTACTGATTGGTCGGAGAAGCTGCTCTTCGGATGAGATGCTTAACACTTAAAGTGCTGTCCACCTGTTCAGGTGGACGTAAGATCCTGTGGCACTACTCGAAATGGGAGATTCTCCCAGTAAGCGACCTGGCCACCAACGCCCCAGATATATATACATATATATATATAAAATTGATCAGTCACTTCATTCGTTGCTTGTGGGATGTTGCTGTAAGCAAATGAACTGCTGCGTTTCTTTACAAATACACACAGTCACTACACTTCGGATTATGCGAAGTACTTCGACACGCTGATACATTTTACAAAGCAACAAGTGACCGGTTCTGTGTTGACATCTCACCGATTCTTCTAAACAGGAAGCAAGTTGCTGAGTGCAGTCATTTATTAATAGGAAGATTAGATTAGATTTCCTATTGCAGGAGATTAGACTAACTATGCTATCTTGTTGTTAACAGATCCATGCCATATCCTGTAACGACACTTATTAATATTGTGTCACCCAATGTGGCTGATAAAGAGCAATCAGGGATTGGAAATGTGCAATTCAAGTATTGCTTCCCTCTGATCAAAGGGTGTGAGAGGCATCAATGAAACACCGATAAGATGTTTTATGAAAGCCCCAACTACAATCACAGGCTGATGCTCAGTTTACTTTTGTTTACCAACAATGTGACAAAATGTCTAACAACAATCATTCTACAACGGTAAACTCTGCCTTCATTCAGTACTTGGGAAAACATTCATTTGAAACATAGTATTTGATGCCCAGTGGAGACACGATGATACGAGAAAAAAAAATCAGGGAACTGCATAATTAGAGGAGTGTTTCGTTTATTAAATTTCACTTAGGATTAACCTTGGAACACGGAAGAGTAAATTTAACTGCAACTTTAATTATACCACTACAATCTTAACAGAGAAAACAAGTTGCAGAATTACCTGCGACCTCACTTTTACATGGGTGCCTTGAACAGCCACAAAATACAGTCACTCTGCGCTTGACACTCAATCCTGTCATGCACTTTGAGATTTATTTTCTCCAAAGGTGAAAGGCGCTACACCAAACACAAAGATTATAACGGTAACCTCCGAGTTTCACCCAGAAATATACAGTCAATTCACTTTACAGTGTATTGTGTGAAGCGCTTTGAGACGTCTAGAGGACGTGATAAGATGCTATATCAAATGCAAGGATTATTATGATATTGATATTTTTGTTAAAAAAAAATCATTGCTGCTGGACGCATTAAGAATCACCTCAACACATGCGATGTGTGGCAGAGAGAGCAGCAATTTGAAGCTACAAAGATTCACCCCAAGTGGTGCAATTTGCCTCTCCCACGATGAAACCCCAGACACACTCTTTGGTTGGTTAACCGAGTAGACGTCTTACATTTGCCGTCAAGGTACGGACACACGAGGTACTATTTTTCCTCTGGGTGAGATGTTTCGCCCACAAAACACAGTTAACAATCCACTTCACAAACATATTCGGTGAACCGCTTCGAGACGTCTCGGGAATATGAACGATAAAAAGAGAATCTCAACGATAACGAGAGAATACCAATGAGTAAAAACAACTGGATGTGCAAACGACCAGGGTCGGCAATCCTCACTGTAAGAGACGAGTACCATTACCATCCTTCGCTGTAGGTCGTTCAAAAAGGTCAGAGCTGGACAGAGAGGGAGAGGAGCCCGAGAATTGCTTACGGTTTGTATTGATAAACGTGCGTCCGGTTTAAAGTACAAACTCCTTTGTTCTGTGCAACTTCTCTCCTCTCTCTCTCTCTCTTCCTTTCCTCTCTCTTTTGTGGATGATTGTGAGCAGGAACCACAAGGGCAAAAACACAAGTCTTTCTGGGTGGAACTTTTCAGTGGAGGATCAAGTCTCCCTCCCTCTCTCTCCCTATATATATATACGTGGCTGCCCTCCCCTTCTTGTGCCACCACTTCCCACCCCTTCCTCCCTCCCTCTCCTCCCTCCCTCCCTCTCCTCCCTCCCTCCCTCTGCCTTGGGATGCACTCCCTCTGCTGTTGAGTCTGATGTTGGGAAGAAGCAGAGCTCCAGGTCCTCAGCTCTTCTCCAGAGAAGGACTGTACAGACAGCAGCCCCACCCCACCCCACCCCTCCCTCCCTCTCCCTCCAGCCCAGGGACAACACCCTCAGGCCATTGCAGCAAATCATCATGAGACCTCCCAACCCCCACCTCTCTCTCTCTCTCTCTCCCTCTCTCTCTCTCTCTCCCCAACATAAAACAGCTTTAAGTGAAGAGCCACATATAACAGGAGAACCACAGGAGAGACTCACACACACACACTTATTCTTCACCTCCAAAACCCAGGGACAAAACCTCAGGCCAACTGCAGTACATCAACAATCATTCCCCCCTCTCCCAACCCAACATAAAGCAGCTTTTGTTTTGTAGGTGAACAGCCAAATGATATACCGAGAGGAGCACAGAGAGAGAGAGAGAGAGACACACACACACAGACGTTTGCCCTCTCACTAATCTCAGTCGGGCTTTCACTGCAGATTTATTATGTGTTATTCTTTTTCAATAATTAATCAGAGGAGAGGGGGGAGAGAGGGGGAGGGGAGAGCTGGGGGAGGGGGGAGAGGGGAGGGGAGAGAGAGGGGGAGAGAGGGGGGAGGGGAGAGAGAGGGGGAGAGAGAGAGGGGGGGGAGAGAGGAGGGGGGGGAGGAGAGAGGGGGGGAGAGAGAGAGGGGAGGGAGAGGGAGGGGGGAAGGGAGAGAGGGGGAGAGGGGGAGAGAGGGGGGGAGAGAGGGGGAGAGAGAGAGGGGGGAGGGAGAGGGAGGGGGGAGAGAGGGGGGGGGGGGGGAGAGAGGGGGGAGGGGAACATTCAGTCATAAAATGAGGCCAAAAAATGCATCTCAATGAAAGGAAATCCCTTCTTTCCTCCCTCTCTCCCTCTCTCCCTCTCTCCAAAAAACACACAGATACACACACACACAGTGTCTATTATATTATATTATACATATATACAGAAAGAGAGAGAGAGAGAGAGCATTACTGTACAAGTTCCCAGAGGCAGCAACAGCCTAACATTCCTTACTCACAGCAGCGTTTCCCCCCCTCACCCCCACCATCAGCAGCTTTTCCCCCTCTCCTTTCCCTTTGAATTAAACCCCACAATAAATATATATATATATATACACACAAAAAGAAATGCACAAACCTCTTACTTTTTTTTCTTTTTCTCCCAAACTCTCTCTCTCTCTCACTCACTCAGTCGCAAGTCCTTCGGGAATCCCTGTTTTTCCCCTAATTAAAGAAAATGCCACACAAACGCAACAATGTTTCCCTCTCTCTCTCTCTCTGTGTATTTTCTGAGCCCTTTGGCCGCAGTTTCCGTCTCTCTGGTTCGCACACTTCCTGCACCGATCACGTGTCGGGAATCAGCTGCTGTTGGGATTCCAGTCCATCCCCAAATCCAGCACTGGGGGGTCTGTGGGGGGGTGTGGGGGGTGGTGTGGGGGGGGGGGAGAGGAAATCTAAACCGCGTCCCCGTTCCTCTCTCCGACACACCTCCGCACTACATCCCATCGCCTTCAGCTCATTCCGCCCGCCCGCCCTCGCTCGCTCTCTCGCCCGCCCTCGCTCGCTCTCTCGCCCGCCCGCCCGCGCTCGCTCTCTCGCCCGCCCGCCCGCGCTCGCTCTCTCTCTCGCCCGTCGACGGGATTAAATCACTTCGGCCGGAACATTTGCGCCCGGCGCTCTCCCGAGACCGCCTGGTCGACCTCTCTCCGACGCGGCGCTGATACTCGAACGCCGGGATTGTTCTCGAGGTCCCGACGCTGCAGCAGACCGCGCTTCCTTCCCGAGCTCTTCGGATGATAGTTAGACCTCCTCCCCCACCGCCACCGCCCTCCCTCCCTCCCTCCCCCCCCTCCGCCCCACCTGAAAGAAGCCGTTTTTTAATCTGTAAAAAAAAATAAGAGAGATGGATTATTCCCTTTAAAGTCCCTGTGTTTATTTTGCGCTACTCGACCGCCAGAGCTTGTTGTTTGGAAGGGTTTCTGCACTTATTCTCAGCAGCTCACAGCAAACTCCAACCCCACACCCTCCCCAGTTTCTGATGAGTATAACAGGAGCAAATAGTATGTGTTCAAGAGGAAGCAAAACAAACATGGGTATGGGAGTGTCGGGAGTGGCTGCGGACTGGTGTGGAGTGTAAACACAGTTCAGCCAAAAGACCTGTTTCCATAGTGTACATTCTACGCAAATCTCTGCAAGTTCACTGCGTGGAGCCCGTAAACAAAACGTTTTATTGTTATTGATCTTTAAACAGTAAACACCTGTCTGTTTAAACCAGTCCTGCCCACACGAACGGATGGGGCTATTTATTCTTCTCTGTGACAGTAATGAACCCGTGTGTCTGTACCGGTGAGATTTGTCTTCGCGTCACATTTGTAGCGTTGCAGGTTACAGCTGCAGCCCGACACACCAGTGCAGCACTGGAGGGACAGCAATGCGTTGACAAGACAGGGGCATTTCCTTCACTAAGCTGAGATTGCTCGGCTGTTTTCAGGTTGACATTAAAGTTCTCCACCAAACAATTCAAAAATAGCAGGGAGTGTCCCCTGGTGTCCTGATCAACAATTCTCCAAATACAACAACAACAACAAAATGACATTATAGAGCGCCTTTTACGTCGGGAGGACGTCCCAAGGTGCTGGATAGTCAGGGGTCAGAGCCCGAGCCTGGGGGAGGGTTGGGGTAGGGGTGAGGGGAGGCAGAGAGGGTGAACCGAAGGCGCGGTCGAAGAGAAGGGTCTTGAGACCAGCCTTGAAGGGAGGCGAGGGAGGAAGCGAGGCCAAGGGATCGTGGGATGGAGTTCAAGAGTGTGGGGGCAGAGAGGTTGAAAGACATGGAGCAGGCTGAAGCCCGATGAATGGGGGGAGCGGGCAGGTTGGTAGGGAGTCGGGAGGTCAGAGAGGTAGGAGGGGGCGAGGCAATGGATGGCCTTGAAAGTGAGGACAAGGATCTTGAATTCGATCCTCTGGGGGATGGGGAGCCAGTGGATCGGGCGAGGGTGGTGGGGTCACGGAGCCTGGTGCGTGAGGCTACACGAACTGCAGAGTTTTGGATGATCTGCAGCTTGTGAAGGGAAGAGTTGGGAAGGCCAATGAGGAGGGAGTTCCCGTCATCGAGGCTTGAGGTGACAAATGTGTGGGTGAGGGTTTGGGCAGCCTGAGGGGTGAGGCAGTGGCGGAGTCTGGCAATGTTGCGGAGGTGGTGGTAGGCAGTGCCGGTCATGGCGCGGATGTGGGGGACAAAGGACAGTTCGGAGTCTAACAAGATGCCCAAGTTCCTGACTGGCTCAGTGAGGGTGAGTGTGCAGCCATGAAGGCTGATGCTGCCAGGGCCTGAGGTGCGGAGGCACTGGTGAGAGCCAATCAGGAGGGCCTCAGTCTTGCTGACATTCAGTTGGAGAAAGTTGTCCCTTGTCCAGGACTTGATGTCAGACAGGCAAGTCGGTCAGGACACCAGTAGTGCTGGAGTTCAGGGTGGAGGCAGAGAGGTAGAGTTGGGTGTCATCCACACAGACAGAGCCCTGAGGAACACCGTACAAGATGGTGCGGGGGCTGGAGGAGAAACCATTTGCTGCAACGAAGTGGAGGTGGTGTGAAAGATCGGGACTTGAACCAGTCAAGGACAGAACCTTGAAGGTTGAGGTAGGAGGAGAGGCGGTGGAGGAGGATTGAATGATCCAGTGTCAAAGGCGGCGGAGAGGTCGAGGAGGCAGAGGGAGCCCTAGTCGCACTTGGTCAGGATGTCATTTGTGACCTTGACCAGAGCAGTTTCCGTGCTGTGGGCGGCAGGAAAGGGAGGTTTGAGATGGGCCGGTAGCTGGATAGCTATGATGAGCCAAGGGGTTTCTTCAAGGTGGGGGTGATAGTGGCTGTTTTGAGTGGGGGGAGGAACAGTGTCAGATGACAAGAGGTTAATGATGTCAACCAATATTTTAGTTGTTCATTTCATGCTTGTTTCGGTGGGGGGTGGGGGGGGGCATCCCTCCTGGATGCAAATTGTCCGCCACATTAACCCACAAATACCTGCTCACTCCACCGCACCGGAATTACCTCTGAAGTTTGACAAGAAATCAGAGACCATCTTTGGCTGCAGTATTTTTACTGCGACCAGATAGTATAACGGGTAAAAGCGAACAGAGTATAAAAATCTCATTAAACCTCATTTCTAATGTTTAATAAAGATCCAATACGGCCATCTGGCTTTCCTTTAGTTTCACGTTACGAAAGAGACAACAGTACATTTAACTCAGCAACATTAAAATTTCACCAGCGCTCCAACACCAATGCACGGAACTCTGTAGAAGCCTTTAAATATTCATCACTTTGACAAGAATGCACAATTTCAGATCGAGTGGTGCTGACAGCACTATGGTCGAGTACAAATACTGTTGAGAGGGGACTTGTGTTTTACGCTGCTGTTTCCAATGTTCTGGGTCCTTTTTACCTTGAAGACGACACAAAATGCAGCATCAATCTGTGAAATACAAAGGCAGTAAAGTATCTACAAAGACTCTGCAGATACACAACATAATCTAAGCTTTCAGTGACATCCACGCACTCTTCCAAAGAAGCTGTAAAGTTTGCACATGTGCATGTGCCTAATCATGAGTTTTGTAATAAAAATAGAAGTCGCTGGGAACACTCAGAGGCCAGACAGCATCTATGGAGAGAAGGAATTGAGTTAACGTTTCAGGTTAATGACCTTTCGTCAGTTCTGACCTGCTGAGTGCTCCCAACGACTGTTTTTATTGCAGATTGCCAGCATCTGCAGTATTTTGCCTTATGAGGAGTGTTGTGTTGTGCAAATACATCCAGAAAGAAATGGATTAACATCTCAGGTTGCTCAGTTATTTGAACTTAGGATCACCCTCTGCTCTGTGCAGTTCAATAAAACGATTAACAGGTTTCCAGTAAAGCCAAGGCACTGTTGAAGACCTATCTTATCAAATTAAGTTTAAGCGTAGATAAGGTTCAGCCCGGAAGCTGCCCTACCTAGGCTTGCACCGTGTTGCTCAGTTCCCATTGTCATTACAATAAACCGTGAGATATTTCAACGTAATTCACTTAGGCCATGTACGATTGGGGCAGGTTGTAAATTTCAGAGATAAAAGGACAGTGAATTAACCCTTTGCACAATCCCCTCCCCGATCTGTCATTTTCGACAAAGACCGACCCTGTTTAACATTAAATATCTAACGTGAAGCAGTTTGAAGGTGATGTACAAGTGGAGAATACATTGCAAGAGCCCAAACGCAAGAAATAACTTATTTTTCCTTTATTGGCAGTGGAAAATAAAAGTTTAAGTATTTTATTGAAAGAAAGCAATAAATACTGTGATAAAAATAGTTCAAAGTACTTATAGACTGTACATAATTTGTTACAGGAAGGCAGAGGAAAAACTCAAGAGACAGCAACCAAATATTGGACAAATAACAGTACATGATTTAGGCCAACGTACATTAACAAATTTCGACCAGTTAAGATTTCGGACAAATTTACAATGTGTTGCTCCAGAATATAAAAGCCACCATGATACCAACAGAACTGCAGCTGACAAGTTGATGATTATTATTTAAAAATACTGAACACTCTCGCGGGTGAAGTCAAGACAAACATTCCCTACCCTCTCGACAAATGTCGACGTTGAAGTCAAATGCACATCATCAAGATTAGAGAAAGGGATGAAAAAGGGGGAGCCACGTTTCAGGAAAAAGTAAGGCTTTCATTTTAAAAGGTAACCTTTCTCTTATGCTTTTCAGATTCAAGATTCCTGACCCCAAATTGACACTGTGCTACCGAAAAGTTGTACCAACCTTATTTTAAGTAAGTAGGGAAGGGGGAGGGAGAAGAGGGCATGAATATTTTCATAGCAGGTAGAATATACTGTAGGTCTTAATTAGATTTAGTCCTACTTTTCCTCAGTTATCATATATATATATGGCTTTCTTACTTATATTTATCTATTCATTATGAATCACACTGAAAAATGGACAAGCATTTACAGTTTTAAAAATGAGGACAGAGTTTTTTTTATTAAAAAAAGGTTTTTGTTACGGTCTTCAGACTCTCACAACATCAACACATTTGGTACCGTCAGCATGCAGTTGCTTCTCTTGGGGGTGGGGTGGGGGAGGGGGGGGGGCGGTGGAGAACCAGAAGGAAAATGTTTTCATACCCATGTTTGTCCTCGCGTTTATAAAAAAAATTGAATATTTGTAGTAATTACAATAATGATTTACAAAAGCCCCTATGATTTTTCATAGGGATGAATACGTACAGACATATGATACATTTTCTTGAAAAAATAATCAAGAGTGAAGAAAGTGGATGTAGGAAAGAATTTTACATAATTATAAATGTGTACAGATTTATAGCAAGGGTACACAGTTGAAGCTAGATGCCAGATCTAAAACAAATCAAACATTGAAATACGTTTACATAAATATAAGAAACATTTATCCTAAAATATTATTTCTAAAGTATTCATGAGCTGTGGTTCAACTAATTAAAATCTCTTGTAGTAAAATATTAAGTTCCACATTAGGAATATTGCTGCATCATAAACCCTTCGGCTTTTACCAGGAATTCATGTGGCATTCGTCTTCTGCACCAAGATTTTCAAATGCTGCATAATCATCTGTAGAAATAGTGTGGGTAAACTGAATAATAAAAACACACGCCATTAAATATCTGAACACAATATACATAATTAACAATCGTATAGGTAACAAACGTGGAGAATAATTTAATAACGCTCATCTGGGCAAAGAGAGAAAAGGCTTTAATTTAAAAATATACTTGAAAACTTCTCTTAGTTTTTCTTAAAAAAACACATATGCAATATTTGAGCAATAACAAAAAATGTCTTAGCATATTGGGGGGGGGTGGATAATTGCCCTGACTAAAACATGAAGAAAGTTGGACTATCAAACCAATTAAAATTTTTCTTACATCTTGAAAAGTACCAGAGGAATAAATGTTCTAGTGAAGTGCAAATTGTTTCTTTTTTTTGCTCCCAATGTGCTAAAAATTCAACACTCGTGTTAAACATGTCCAAAAAACAAATCGCTTAAACAACTTAGAAATATAGAGAAACATTTTGAACTTAACTGAGATGCTCTTGTTCAGAATTTGATTGCAGTTTCCTGCTCATTATTCCAATAAATAATCTTATAAAGGAGCTCAAAAAATTCACTGGCTTCAAAACAGTTCTCTTGTACCATTGAGATGTAAGAAGAGGCATGCAGTGGTTACTACAGTATGTTAATCACCAGTCCACTCTGCACAAAATTCATATACTTTATAACTCCAGCATCCCTGTTCCAAACTTAAAAGAGGAGGATAATGTGGAAAGGAAGTTCTTGTAATGTAAAATGCTCAACTCCTAAATCTTTGCCTAAAGACAGATCACGCATCTTCTGCAACTCATAATCTTTGAATAAAAACGCTCAACACATAGGCTATCACACACAATACAACAGGGAAGCCCCCCTAATCCTATACAGACTTATGCATGATTTAGTTTATGAATGTTCTGTCAACAGCACTTTGTAAAACAAAAAGAGGAAGTCTGTTTTGTACCTACCTTCCTTTACAACACAGTCGTAGTTTCATGGTTGAGGTCAGCTGAATTTACAGGGCACTAAATAGGCACTACCTACCTCACACAAGTGTCTCAATCCCATCCCACTCGTGCAGATTTTACTCTAGAACCCACACAGAGCCAAATTAAGCGGAGGTCAAAACAAGCTTGCTCGTCAGACCACCTGATTCAACTTGTGCTTTCATTTCTCCTCCCTATGGTTCCAGTATGGAATGCATATGTGCAGGACGAGCAATATTATAGAGCGTACAGAGGTTCTATACAGACAAATTGGTTATTAAAGTTTTGACTGAACAGACGCTCCCAGCAGAAAAATAGTAAAAAGACAAGAGGTTCAGCACGAATGCTCATTCATCAATCACCCAAGCACCTTGTTTAAAAGCGGCATTGAGAGTCACCTGCTTGATACTCACCCAAGAAGAATGTGTAATATAAGAGAATAATAAAACTTTAAAGTGAGTGATGGGAAATAAAAGACAGCTCTCCCCACACATTGTCAACTGTTTTTTCGTTCCATTTGAGATATGAGGGAATCTTTATATTGCAAGAACTTCCTTGTAAACATACCTTGCCCTTTGTAGGATTCTACACACAAGGTGCAGTGTATCTATCCAGCTGTAACTACACAAACAGTAAGTCCGCTGAATAGACCCCTAACCACACTTTCACATGCTTAATACCTCCATTTAGCATTTCAAATGGCACATTATTCAGTTGATAATTCAGCCGAGTCTGATACCATTATGCTCTGTGAGTTCTGAATTAATCCAGACCAATTAAGAGCGCTGGATAATAAACTGGCTTTTTCACTCAAACCTCATACTGTTTACAAAGTGAAGTACCACTTCTCAATACTCTGCCATACCTATCTCTCCCATTTACCTCATGTACCTTAGACTCAGTGCAATTGCAACAAAAAGATTGGTTTGAATATATATTCTTCCCCACCCACACCCCCCCATCAATTTTGAAAACAGATATATCTTCCAAACATGATAGAGATCAAGCCAAGGGGAAACCTATTGTATGAATGCTTACCCATAATTAACACGAATAGGTTCGTACTGTAGCAGAATCCATTCTTTGTGTTCCTGAAACATTGCCTGCAATTTCCATCACAAGAAGTACCATGCAGAAAACATGCAGTTAGTTACAAATTAGGCACTTCAACTATTGCAAGTTAATAATTGTTTAATGACATCTTTAAGAGAAGAGAAATAAGGGTCCAGAAAATACAGTGGACTAAGTTTCTCACATTAGATACTCAAGATTCAAAAGTATTTAAGATTCTTAATGGTCAAGGACGTCACATTTCACAAGTGCCACCCATTGCTTTTTGAAGATGAAAGCATTAAGTAAACCTTTAAAAAGTTCCTTGCTATTTTCTGAAGAAAAATTCCAAAGTGACCGAAATTCAAGCTTTTCAAAGCTAAAAAGTGTTTTGAGCACCACAATGACGTGTACTTGTTTTCTAATTCCAATGAAAGGCAGTTTCTCACAGATTTACCTTATAGCAAAGTAAATAAATGAACTACTGTATCTAGAGTAGAAAGGTTAATTAGAAATACTTAAAACAATTTCAATTAAATTCACTCTAATCCAGTTAAGCTTCTTTAAGGAGATAATTACTGTCCAATTTTCAATAAGAAATTATGTAAGTAGTTTCTACTATATATTTACAATTAGATGAACTCCTGGAATGTTGGTTATAATTTGCTTTACTTTCTGCTTAAAAAGTATTTAACTTGCCTAACTGACATTTATGCTTAATGAGCAAAGGCCAGGCCTCAAAATGAATACACCACAAGGTGTATGTATTTTTAAATATGTGTGACCTTCCAGGTAAGATCAGTGTTACAGCACTGAACTGGAAATAGACTGGATCAACATTTATTCAATATATATGTTTGACTTGAAGAATGTTATGCTGAGTTTCTGTCCTATAATAAGAGCAAAATACAAGGCCCAAAGGAAGTTAAAGAAGGATTTTATTAATCATGTAAAACTATAATATCCCACAAAACCCCTCACCTGATGGAGAAAAAACATGCCCTTGACTGTATCCCCGCGGAGTAAAGATTTTACACCAAAATATTTCAAACAGCAAGCCACACAACATGCCCAATCATGCCATAACAGAAAACTGCCGCTTACCATCTGTCTGCATCTTCTTTGGCTGCATGGAGGGTGAGGACATTGTTGAGGTAACTCTAAAATTAGCAGGTAGCGTCTCTGCTGATCCCGGCGTCATACCCCTCACATCCTTTGGTCGAAACTTCTTTCTCCAGGAAGGAGCTCTTCTGAAACCCTTTTCGTCATCCTTGTGGTTTAAGCAAACAATTTTCAGTTTCGTTAACGTCTCGTAAAATTACATTAACCACTAACAGGTATCAATTCCTCCACTTTTCAGGATCTTAACATTTAAAACGCATCATGCCTCTGATACTCTCTTGCTTTCTTCATATAACTCCAGCATTGGGGGGGGCCACATTACGCATCCGTGAAGTAATCACACGGGCCAGAGGTTGACCACCCCTGATCTCGGCCAAAATATTAACTGAAACCAATGTAGAGAATTTTCCTGTGTATTATAATTGTTGTCTACAGCTTCTTAAGAATAAAGCAAGCGGCATTTGGTTATGGAAGCTGAGCAGACGAGGAAAGAACAACAATCTAGAGAAACTCGCACAAATTTGAAGATACGTTTATTAAAAATCTGCAATCTTACGTCATCTAGCCTCCTGTCTGTTCCTAGAGCCAAGAGGTTGTTAAACTCTCTCTCCAGTGACTGTCGAGCCTGCAAAACATAAATGTGACCAGTACTTCTTTATGTAAACTGAAGATCCTGCAGTGCAATTTGTAGCCTCAGACTTATAAGTAGGACTGCAAAAGTAGCGAAAAGATCATACAAAGTGCCACAAACATCCCAAGATAATTAGGCTGTTGTGTCGTTACATGGAATACATAATTCCTCTTTTAGTTATTCATAGATATTACAACACACAGCAGTTTCATGCAGTGGTTGGCCTCCAAATAAAGATCACACCTTGACACAAAAAAAGTTCAAATACTCTCATTGAAGGATACTGGTAAAATGGGGGAATGTTTATTTGAGCTTTTTTTAAAGTCTATTGTGACTATCTAAAGTCTAATGTTCAGCCAGCAGATGGCAATGTTTCCTTGCATTAAATCTCCCATTACATTACATACGGCACAGGGACAGAGGGAAATAAAACAGGACTAAAACACTGCCTTAAAATCACCCTTTCGGGTGTTTTTTTTAAAGTGACCCAATTTATTCCCATTGAGTGGACACAGTTTGACTTCCTAAACTGACACGTTTCACAAACTGCACTGGTGACTCCCATTGCTCACCTGTGTGTTCTGTGTTGGTATCTGTAACAACAAAGCTATTGCATTGTGATCGAAGAGTTCGTCGAGAGCAATCAATCCGCCGTGAATTCCATTTTCTAAAAGGTTATTTGAATATTCTTTAAGCCCAATTGACTGCACCCAGCGAATTACTCGTTCGTTGGTCCACACCATAACATCTGTGAGAGTGAACGGAAGATTAATAGAGGAAAAGTGATCCAATACATAGCACCGTATTTCTGTAAAACATTTTTATATATATATATAAAGGATGCTAGATTTCCTGATGTACGGGTTTAATTTCACAAAAAAAAGAAATCTATTTTAATTTTTTAATTGGATACGTCTTAATCTTTTAAAATTATTACAACTGGACAAGTACATTTATTTTTAGAAATGGTCATCATCTTATTGATATCCTTCTAGACCACAGAACCAGCCAATTCTACGAATGTAAACTGAGGCACATACATACAGTCCTTCTCGCCTGTCAGATGGACGTATAAAAGAGAATAAATTTTCCAACTAGAAGCACAAAGATTGATGTGGATGTCATGGGGGAGCCCCATCCCTTGACAATTTAACTTGGCAGCAGCTTTGTAAATATCATACTTAACAAATCAGTAGCTGGACAACCAGCCTGTATTAACTTAATATAAATGTCACCTTTGATATCGTGCTGAGCTTCTTCTCGCTTCCTTTCCAGTTCTTGTCGATCATAGTTTAATCTCTTTAAAGACATTATTCCACAATGTAGGCTCTTTCTGTTTTTTTAAAAAAATATTAAGAAATTATTTCTGCAAATTTCTATTAGGAACAGACTTATAATAAAATGGGTGCAGTTTAGGATTCTAATTGTGAGACATACGGAAGAAACAGTGAAACCATTCTTGACTATTTGCTCATATGTCTCTGAGATGAGCAACAAAGACCATTTGCCCACAAAGCACAGTCACTCCACTTTACGTGTAAGGCCTACACCAAATGTAAGGATTATTATTATTATTATAGTGTTCCCAACCAAATACTTATCCAGTAATTTTTGAAGAAGTCAAATCTTTCAATTCTATTTTTAATTTCTGCCATCACATTTTAAAATGGTTTCAACTCCCGCCTGCTTGTTCCTCAATCCTCCTTTTAGCTTTGAATACGGTGTTTTAAGAATAAATATTTCACGAGGTATCAAATCTCCAAAGAATCTTTTCTAGGAGATTTTTTTCAATTAATTTTTTTCAGAACACCGTAAGAGGGTCAGAGAAGTACATCTCAAAATTTACCTGTGAAAACTATCGACCATTTTGAGTTGTCCCCGAAGATCCTTCTTTGTCAAATGGTCCAGCATTCGAGCATCAACAAGACATTCCATGAAGTAACTGCGATATTGAGGCAAACCCAAGCTAGGAAGCCACTCATTGCCAATCCACTCGTGATTCATGTCCCCGTATGCTAAAGTCTAACTCCCCAGAAAAAGGAAAAAGACAGACATTTATCAAGAAACTTACTTGAACTGCCTTATTCCAAGTCAAAGCTAGAATAAGTGCTGCGAAGTGAAACAATTTTCTACTTTCTATATCTAATGAAAACGCGAAATTAAATGGGGAATAAATTCAAGGATGTGCAATACTTCTCAGGCTGTCCTGATAATGCAGCTCATACATAGAAACGGATCCATAAGCTACACGGGTCTCAAAGTTTTAGTCAATGTAAATAAAGTTTGAGTCAATGTAAAATTTGGGCATCGCATCTAAATTAGTTTGTGACAAATGGAAATGGCATTTACTGGCTTAATAAGCGAACAATCAAATACTTGTTAAAAAGCCCACCTGGGCCCAGCTTCCTTCTTCGTCATCCTGATGTTAAAGCAGTTAGAAAAGCGTGGGAGAAACATGGGATAAAAAGTTAATTGTGATACGCGGTTTGCACGTGAAGTTACAAGCCATTTACAAGTCATTTTCTTTTTGGAAGGAATAATAATAATAATCGTTGCATTTGAGGATTATTATTATTGTTTTCTTCTTAAAAGAAAGTAACTGAAACAAGTCTCGTTAGTTTGCAGTGTTTCTACTTCAGAGCATTTTCATTAAAAAAGTCTCATGGCAAAAGATCAATAATAAGGTCAAAGATAATCTGCCAAGAACATGCACTTTTTAGGTATATGTTCTGCAACGGCACTTCAGCACAAACACACAGAAGATTAGTTGATTTTGATCTATGCAAGTCAAGCTGAGCAATTTTTGAATTATTTTGGCTGTGTGCTTATACACTATTATCTTGTAATCACAAGGATCATAGAGACAACACAATCAGCCAACATTATTACATAGTTAAGGTCTTTCTAAGGTGAATAAAATTACTATTATACTCTTTCCATGTTAGGCATTTGGTGTATAACCACACATATATTTAAGCATCAATTTCAAATGAGAATTTGGCTTTTATATATTGAAAGAGTCATAAAACAACAAAATTAAGGCCATGCCATGGAGACATCTCAAACGTAGAATGTAAATAGCGCAACATTAAATCCGTAATCATAGAACTTTGTAAGGTTATTTAGTGGCTTCCCCAAATCCCCATTATATGTCTCATAGAAAATTGTTTTAACTGTGTTGTAGTGGAACAAGCTAAGGCTCAGTTGAGACAGAATCAAATCCCAAATGATTTATTTAGGGCATCAGGAAAACTTTGGAATTCATCCCCCTTAAAGTTCAACTGACATCATTACAACCCACATATTTACAAGCCTGAACACAAGACTGGGAAGCACACTACACTAGGGAGGGTATGTGGGCAGAAGCTGTTGAAAGAATCAAAAGGAACAAAAGCTGCAGTGAATATCTGGGACTAACCGTTTGCGGCGTAGCAGCAAGATTTTCCATCTCTTCATGTGTCAACCAGACATTTCCAGTAGACTAAGCATATCACCCACAGAGAACCAATCATATCCAATGACAGGTAAGCAGTAATAAAGAGGAGAGGTGGCAGAACATTAAGCAACAGGTACATTGAAGGAAGCGGACACAGGCTCAAATGTGGCTCCTTACAAAGGTGAGCAGATTATTTTCAAAACTATTTTGTTCCTTCTAGAACATGGATGCTATATTTTATATCATATGTGGAAGAGAGTAAAAATTCCTTCAAAATAGTTCAGCTTTGGAATGGGATCTCTTAGAATCTCTGAACAAGAAATAAACCTTCAATTCAATTAAGGCGACATAGTTCGTCAAATAATTAAATGGAAACAAAATCAGCTCAGCCTCATTTGTAACCAAAAAATAAACGATATGAAAGTGAAATGCATTCATTCTAAAGTTATTTCAAAAATATAAATATAAGTGCATGATCAAACGGGATGAAGAGTTATATTCTGTCATCTCATCATAAAATTATAAGAATTCCTAAAACAGCGGAGATTATGGACTCGTTTATGATGATGTCTTCTTTGCAGACTAAAAGCTGCTCACAGTAAGACAGCAGTAGGAAAACGATCAAGGAATGCAGGGCAGCAACTAACCTTGAATCCCGAAAAGATCTAAAATGGCTACCTTTCGTTTATCATTCCGTAACCATGACAAATCAAACTCAAATGGCACTTCACATTTGACTTAAATACTTATTTTTGGAGTGGTGAGTTTCACAAGTCTCTTTAAAATTTAATAGAAGATTCAAGAAAGTTAAAATTATTGTAGAGAATACCTTTAAATCAGAACTTATCCATTTATGCATTGATTTGAGAACCTCAGAACATGATCCCCCAGCTACGCAAATCATTAATTGTATTTGTTCCCCCAAAGAATTGAATCTCTCCTTACCGTTCGAGACGTTGGAGGTGCTGAAGGACTGGTTAGCGACACCATCTCTTGGATCGCGAGACGGAGTTTTAACCTGTGGAGAGGGTTGCTGATGCCAATCTCGCGCTGTATTTCGGTGTCTGACAAGGCTGACATGATAGCACCACTTTTAACATTGGCCCTGCAGGCTGCCACGTACCAGGCTGGCATTCCTACCCAAAGCTGCAAACAAAAACACAATCGCTTGAAATTCCGGAAGTAACACAAAATGTCTTTTGACAAATTGAGCGCCGCTAATATCATGAATAAGTCCGCCCCGACGCATTTTTACGGCTACAATTCAATGGATATTGATTTGCAGTTTTACCTCCAGCCACACAACTACAGTAGGCCCATCCCATAATGCAAATGGCAAGCCTTGCCTCCGTGCTTCCTCCAACAACTCCGTCCTAAAATATGACATTAACATAAATCCGTATCCATTACTCAGTTCAGTAGATATACAAAAAGAAGGTGCTGCAACTGGCTCTCTGTACATTGGGAGCGAAATAAGCAGTTTTTCCCTCCAAGTTCACCATGAAGTAATTGTAGCTTGTTAATTTTTATATAAAAATGGTATTTAACACATGCACAAAGATGAGATTAAAGTTATGTAAAACTTGCAATATTAAATATTAATGAGAATGTATTAGCAAATTAGCAAACATTTCCAAGAGTTTTTTTTAAAAGGAAAAGGATCAGAGAAACCAGAAAACCACTCCTTCACACAAGCATTCTTAATAGAAAAGACGTCACGGTAAAGTTTCACACGGCAAGCACACATTTTCCCGCAAGTTAAAATACACCACATGGAATACTATTCCAAAGAGTTCCAGTTACTGACGTTGTTGACAACGCTCTGCATCATCACTGCCCCAATGTTCAGTCCCCTCAAAAGAATGTTATATTTAAAAGTATCCCAACCCCCTGCTTCCTCCGTCAAGTGAAAGACTGGTGTTCATAACAGGCCTGTCCATTATACCAACTCATACAGTAATTGGTTTGGAAGTGTGCGCCTCCAAGTTCGGCAAAAACTGATGCCATGGAGTCATAGTTGTCAGAATTCAACTGGTAAACTTCTGGTCAGGAGACTGGTTCTCCAGGGGCTTGGACTCCTCAAAGTGTGAGGCACTAAGTGTTTGAAAGTCATGCTCACTTTTTGCTATTTGCTATCCAAGACATTAATGTTTTTCTCGTCTTACAAACTGGAGCTCAATGGAAGTATGAACATTTCAAGTTATAATCCTGCATTCCACACATTCCAGTGAAGGAACACAATTGCCTTTCCATTATAAGTTGGCACAGACCCACAGAGCAAAACCCAGTGCATTCATGAAGGTTTCCGAAAAATGAACTTACCCAGATTTATTACTAAATCATGGAGTGAATAGTAGAAAACATAAGGGGAGGAAAATGGGAAAAAAAAATGTGTGAAACACTCGTTCAAAATTGAAACCAACGAAAGAATAGGGACAAAAGACGTGGAGAAAGGAACGTTTCCTTCTGAACACTGTTACTTATGCAATAAGAACAATTTAATAGTGGCACTCAATAAAATGTCAATGGACAGTATCCCAAGCAACGTCTTGTTCAAGAGCGATTCCCAAGAATGCAGCAACATGTTGCAACCCAGAGTGCTGGAACGCAGATCTGTACCTTGGATTCCTTACAAATTGAGCTGATTTCAATCACATTACAGCTAATAGAGTCGAGGTAATTCCCAAACGGGGAAAAATATATATCTAGGAGCCATGATTCAATGTAAATGGGCCCTTGGTTTAACATTGGTGGGTCAGCTCAGCCTCCAACCCATTCCTTAAATAGCAAGAAAAGGAGAGAACAACATAAAATTGCATCTTAACCCAGTCAACATCTACAGCTATCAACAAAGGCCTATTCATCAATAAACAATGGAACAGCGGACACTTCTCTCGGCCACAAGCGATTAAAAGTGCCACAGATTTAAAATGTCTAACCATTCACAAATACCAATTTACTTCTCCATTAAAATTCTTCAAATGAAAACATTAAAAAAAAACTTACTTCTTCTTCATTTTTCTATCTTTTTCTGCCTGGCCACCAAGTTTACTAAGTCCTAAGGCATCCTGAGGCGAGGCTTCCATGTCTGGCGTGCCAGCTAAAACGTTGGAAAAATTACAAGTTATACATGTGAATGTGGCAAGAACTATGAACTGAAGTAACATTTTCTTTCCGGCAAATGTAAACTATCCAAATATTCAAAGATATCATTCAGCAAAGAGAAAAAAAAGCAATGTGAAATATACAATGTCAGGTTGTTTCAAGGCTTAGCTGTAGAATTAGAGATTGTAGCAAATTAAAGTTAAAGTCCAATATGACTGATATTCTTGGTAATTCCACCATAATGAGAAAATATATGATTCTTGCTACCAGCTTACTGTATTTTATTGTTTGTACTGTGCACCTTTTGTCAGTGAGAAATGTAATAGAAATTGTATTCTTTGGGACATTTGTACAAAAACTGACCTCAAAGTTCAGGACTATCACTGCAGCAAAGTACAAGCGAAAGTCCACAAAACCCTAAGAAAACCTGCTGTATTTCTTTCATGAAAGGATAGCATAATATGTTTTTTTTTGGAACAAATGCCTAGCATTTTTGTGTGGCCAATATGATTTTCATTTAAGGTACTGATGAATATCATGAAATACATCTTTGAGTTTGCATTAATTAGATATACAATCTGAATTATAACCATGCTTAATTAACTATTCACTGCATAAAAGCCAACAAAATTTATTGTTAAATATTAATTATACAAAATCTATTAATTCGGGTAGGTCCAATAATGTTTCTTAATAGAGGTGATGCTACAAAACTGTGATTTTGGCCCAAACTATTGTATTTTACTAATTAAAGCCTACATTGGACAGATTTGTTTAAAGACTTGGTTATGATATTGTAACGAGCATCACAAAGTTCACTGTATTATTCACATGGTTATTTCCACAATGTGATTTCTGTTGCAAATATTCACCCTTTTTTTCTCTCTCAGTAAAACATTACAATTTTCAGTTTCAAAAATAATTTAATTAGTATGCAAAACGCATGGATTAAATTGATGCAGTTGCTTTTTAATTCAACCTCTTATCGAAGATGAACCCCGATAGCATAAAGTCCACACTGCCACATATAATAGATATTAGTAGGTATTAAACTTTTCCACGTTTACAGCACACATTTTGCCATGCCAAAAATTTCCATGCCAAGTCAATAATTAAAGGTACAAGCAACTTCCATTCAGAAAGTCAAGTAAATCCAAACAAAGAACAAGAAGACCAACAGAATAGAAAGTGTGACCTGAACCTGGAAAGGTAGCATGTAGATTGGGCTAAGATTGATGGACAGTCATTTGGCAATAAAGAACCAAGAGAATGGAAGAGAAACAAATTATGCGAAAATTGAAATGAATTAAAATTGCGAAAAAAAAGAATTCTAGGCATTCAGATATGCCGTAGGCTTTACAGAACAAATTAAACGTAAGACAAAATGTAAATTGAAAGAAAAAACGATAAATTTACACGCTCCGGAGTTTAGGCTATTTGACTTCCAAACCAACCTTGTCCCGTTGGATCTCTGATGGTCTGTCCGAGCCGACCTTTTTCTTTCTTACCAAACAGACGCCCAATGGAAGATTTTATACTCTTCTTCTTGGGGGCTTTGTGAAGGGAATCTTGGCTGCTGTTGCTACTGCTGGGATTGCTGACCTGGCCATCCTGTGACCCAGTCGAACTACAGAAAATAAAGTGATTCATTCATACAGTTGGGATTTTTATTCTAAATAAATTTCGGTACACAAATAATGTCGCAGAGCATCACGCAAAAAATGTGAATCAACTAGTACATGATACAGAAAATTCACAATTTGACCACTGATAAATTATTTCTCACATTGTACATTTCAACAAGCATAAATATTCTATTCGGAATAATCTAATTGCGAAAGAGTTCACACTTTTAATTTCCAAGTTTCACACCTAAAATGTTGACTGAATTAATACCGTTAGCAATCTCATGGTAAAAGCTTGATATTTAAAATTATATATTCCCATGATTGGTAGATGCTTTGAAGTCAGATCAATTTCCTGTGAGGAACTGAATCCCAGTGTAATTAATGGCTACCAGTTTGACAACTGCATTTAGCTTCAAAACTGCAAAAGTTTCTGTTTGTACAACATACAAAGGTTCAGCAAGCACAACAAGGGAATGGTTAATGCTTCTTCCACTTTCTTATGTCATATGCAATCAATACTGTAATTCTTTTTAAAAAGTTCTAACATGAAAGATAAGACTTTTTTTAGTTATACACCTTATCACCGGGCGATACAGACCATACAGCTACAGATCCCAGATTCAAATCTCAGACTGTGCTGAATTATCTAAACTTAGCTGGGGGCACTACAATTATACAGGGTGAAACAGAAGTCTTTACTCAAGAGATTTTAATTATTAATTATGTTTTTTTTTAAAAGACAGCATGCGTGGAGTGTGCGCAGCTATTATAGATGTCTTTCATCGCGTTCATGAAAGCTTTTGTCATCGAGTTGATATGTGTAATAATAATAATCCTTGCATTTGACATAACGCCTTACCACGACTTCTAGTGAATTGAGTGTATATTTGTGGGCGAAACGCGGCAGTCGACTGCGCACAGCAGTGTCCCACAAAAACTGGATTGTGTGACCAAATTATTATTTATAAAACGTCTACATGGCATAGAGTTTTAATATCTCATACAAACCTATGAATAAGGACTTTGGATTCACCCTACATAATTGTGCTGGTGGTCTCCATTATGCTAAGGATTGGAATTTTATTTATATAAATATATTATATACATATGCACACACACACTACATATTAATACATGCACAATTCTACAATTCTAAGGTGGTAAAGTTTTACCTTCGTATATCCCGGATATCTTCCTGACTCATTGTAAACAAAACACCTTGATTAATTCTGTCCAGCCGAATGGACCGAGGTGTGGAGGGCGGTGACGTTTCACACTTGATGGTGGTTTTATCTTCTCGGAAATCATCTTTCATTATTGGAGACTATATTGAGAAATTGCAATGGAGTTTTAAAAAACACAAGCACCAGTTCGTACATCAATGTCAAAAATTAGTGAATTCATAAAATTCTAACAGCAAATAATAATAACAATCCTTGGATTTGATATAGCGCCTAATCACGTCTTCGAGACATCTCAAAGCGCTTCACAGAATATACTATAAAGTGAATTGACTGTATATTGTGTGGGCGAAAATTTCTCCAAATGACTTCAGGACACACAGATAGCTGAAAAGAACCCAATAAATATTATGGTGACTGAAACTTCGATCAGTATGGTTATTAATTAACGTGGTAACCGGAAGTTACTTTAGGAGTGTTGTTGGATTTTAGGAAAGTAGATGACAAGGTGAGATATCTTCTCGTACCAAATTTTGCAGAAAAGCTTACATTTAGCAATATGAAAAATTAGAGACTGAAAAAAGATGGAAAAGGCAGAAAAGAAAACATGAACACAGATGTAAGCAGCACTTCTCGCATCAATTAGCCCAACTCAGAAATCCTCTGTGATCTGAGACTAATGCTACCAAGAGAATGGTTTGTAGTCAGGTCTCTGCCAATACACAAACTTGGAGACACATTGCAACACCCACTCAGGGTATCACAATTCTGATATTTGTTTCCCTCGATGAGCACGAAAACCGTAACTTCTATTTGACATGGTTCTGGTCAAGAAATGAACTGGGTGGGGGCAAACCAATTTAAAATCTTTGTGTGTGTGTGTTGTCAACTGGAGAGCTCTAACATTCCCTCATTTACTGGAATGTTTGGTTTTTGAAACACTCCAATTTACCCTGGAATGAAGTATTTCTGATTCATCACTTTTTTGAAAATAAATGCATGATAATAAAGCTTAAGCCATGCAAACATTTCAAATAAATAAATAAATAAATCTATCTTGGGGTTGGGAAGGAATTAAAAGAATTACTTAAATTTTTGATGCCATGCTCAACAGCAGAAAATATAGCATATAGTACATTTTATGAGCATGATTGTGGTATGTTCGGTGTACAACTGTCCACCCACCAGTAGGCAATTCAAGTTCAATTTTATACATTTACCTTCCTACGTAGTTTCCTTAAATCACTAGGCTGACACATGCAAAGAAAAGAGAGAGTAATTAAGGATACAAAATTGATCGAAAGGTTATACAAGACAACAGTCCCAGAAACCATAGCAATTGGAGGAAAAGGTCGGAAAATTAAAAGCAAACTTTTTTTAATGCATTACTTCAAACGTTGCATAAATTTCAACAGCTAATAGCATCTGTAGTTATCTGCTGCACCAAGATTATAACAACCCCAACTAGTTGGTTGTGGAGCAGCAATTTTTTTTGTCCTAGTTTGATCAAAAGACTTTGAAAGTTGCAGCGTACTACAGGAGAGTATCCCCTATCCTTTAAAGCTAACTTCTATGTATAAATACCTAGAAATCCATTGAAATTAGCTGTTACTCAACCTCATCTTTCTTTTAAAGTAACTCAACCTGCTTTACCAATATAGAAATCAGACCGCAATGACGAGAGCAATGCCTGATCTTTGGATTGTTGAAAACCACATTTGTCTTGCAGTTTGCAATGTAGAGCAGTCGTGATGTTACAAACATTAACGAGAAATTTTAACAAGTCTATATTTGCCTATAGATCACAAATCACAGAAAAAGAATATCTAATCCAGATAATATCTAATAATTTGTCTTGTGGACGTGTTCTTCACACTCTTACACTAGCTAGCCACATACTTTAGAAAGATGCTGCAACTTTATACGAAGCTTACGAGGAACAAAAAAAAAGTTTTGAACTTACAAGAGTCATGGCTCCCAGCCGCTCGACCTCGTGAGCTGGGCTGCGAGGGGCTCGTTTAGGGGTCGAGTGCCCACTGCCTGGCGGTGAGGAACTGGCGTGGGAGGAAGTAGTGAATGAGGCAGGGAGGGTCCCCGCAGACCTAAACCGACAAAGGTTCAGACCATCAAGGCTTCCACTGCCTACACGGCTCTCAATTTCCTCCGCTCGCTGCTGTGTCGACTCCTTTTCTTCTTGGATCAGCCTACAAAAATAGCCAGATGAGATCTTGGGGCTTTGCTTACTTTCTCTCTCTCTCTCTCTCTTTCCTTCATCCAAAACGTTAATGAAGCCGATTTTAAACTCTTACTTTTTTCTGCAATTAACTGCAATTATCAAGAGTACCTCTTTCCACTGAGGTTTCTGGTTGGTATGAACAACTACTACTAGCTGGTCCTTTGTTCGATATGATAGAATTTCACAAAGACATTTTTATTTCTTGAAGTTTATCGACTTTAGCGTGTCATTTTTTTTCTTTCAAAAACGTCTAAAACAAACCTTATTTCGTTATTGATGGCATCCAATTGTTCCTGAAGCATCATGGCAAGCGTTTGGGCATCAGCCTGGCCACTTGGCGACAAGAGATCAGCCGAGCTGAAAATAGTCTCCCGATCATCTTCTGCATCTGATACTTCTGCATCACTCTCGAAAGCCTGAGCTACGTGAGCCAGGACACTGGCCTGTTGTGCACGCTCCCATTCTTGCTCATTTAGTGTCTGAACCTGCTCATAAAAAAAACGCAACACAAAAGCCTCAGAAGAGATAAGCAAGCCAGCTGGCCTTATCATACCGTTTTGGTCACCCGGATGTCTGATAAACAATACTGTGCTTATCAGTATCCAAACCAGACTGAAATTTACACATATGTATGTCACTTACATGCCAAAGTTTCCATGTGTCTGGAATGGAATGCGCACTCTCTCTCGGGCGGGTGGGGTGGGTGGGGGTGAGCGGGGAGACGGAAGGCGGGAACACCCCACTTGTCTAATTCTGTAGCGTACTAGAGGCAGGCTGGCAAAGGACAAGGCTTGGGAACCCCAGAGTGTGTATTGGGGTTCGGCTGGAATGGAACCAACTGATACTGGATAGTCTTATTATTCCAAGCACCCTTGGGCAAGCTTCCCATTGCTCACCCAGCTAGGACCACCCTCCCAATAAGGGTTTGGCTTGCAGGATTATGGAAAAGGTTTTGCTTGGTTTAAAAAGCCAGATACAAAAACGAACAGAAACAAGTTTACTTTGTCTAACAATTGTTCTTGTTGCCTTTAACGTTTTTTTTAAAAATGTAATATTTTTTAGAAAGAGGTGACAGAATTTGTTTCAGCACAGTTTGTGAAACTGCATAAAACACTTTTTGAGCGTACAAACTTACATGCTGCATGCATCCATCATAAAAGTAGCAAGGAACAGAAGAAAAACACATTAAGATGGGACAGCAACAAATCGTTTCAATAAACTATGCATCTTTACTTAATAAGAAAGTCTGTGATGCAAAAAGTCACTGTTTTTTTGAGGATTTGCAAAACTAACACACACAGCCCAAGAGCTGAGAGTTAATTATGGAATAAATTAAAAAATCAATGATATATTAAACATCATGAAGCATGGTTACAGGTAAGCAGAACCACTACAAAATTGAAAACCCCATTACACAATGGCTAAGGTGGATAATCTAAAAGCTAATGCGACTAACACAACAAATGCTGCTGTGCATAAAAAATAATTCTCTGGAGATTAATAACCATGTGGCTAGCTCGATACATCTGCATTAAAATTACACACATGAAATAGCAACAACATTCGTTACCTTAACAATGAGTAATCAATGGGATCTCAAATCCTCAAACCTCTAACAGTGGCTCCATTATGTGAAAAGGCTCATCTTTTTTGAAAAGATTGTCAACAGACCAACAGAATATATCATGAGTTTGAGAGAATTCAAGATTTGTCACACAAAAGACAGTCTTTAAATTTCCTTGTGCCTATTGTACTTGTGAATAACTGCTTTATATGAGTGGGGCAGACAAGTTATCAAAAACAGTGATGCAGGCACGGATGCCCTCATGTTATTATTATTATTATGCTTAATTGGCCTTTGGAGCAGCTTTTCACTCCTCAAAAAAGTTCCCTCAAAAAACGGACGAATGTTTTTTTTTTAGTCTGACTTTCCCAAAATCCACGGAACTTTTTTTGTAAAAAAGCGAGCTTGACTTAAAAAAACACACACAAGGTTAAGACAAAAATGCTACACCAATTCAAATTGCGTGAGAAAAAAACACAAACGCTTTACCTTTGAAGGCTCATCTCGTAAAGCAGCTAAACGGCCTTTCTGAGTCCTACGTAATACTGGTGCGCTGACATATGGTTCTGGATGATTGTCCACCACTGTTGTAGATGCTAGTGGGAACCTAAAGTCTGGGGTGCTACCTAAATGTGACCTGCTGAAAAAATATTTTAAAAATGCATAAAATATTTTGAATTTTTTTTCAAAAAATCCTATTAGTTTAAGGATTCATTTCCTAAAATGAAAGCATAGCAATACTGAAATCACATGAAAATTGCATCCCCTTGTTTTAGACGGTCCTGAAGTAAACAGAAATATGAACAGGTCATCACGCAGTCCAGTTTGGTTAGTTAGTTAGTTGATAAGCTTACTGGACATTTTTATAGTGGGGAGTGGTGAAAGAGAGGCACAAGACAAATCTTCTGCCAACTGGTTATATAGTGTAAAGGAGGGAGAATGTGTTCAATATGGTCATCAACAAAATCACGCATAGCGATTAATCATGTAACAAGTTTAGGCACTGAACAGACAAAGGATTGATTACTCATAGGGGCGGAAGCTATATACTGCTGTGCTTTTACTTTTATGCAGGATGGCAGTTTAACAAATGTTATGTTTTTCCTCCTGGAGTGTCCTTCAATTCCAATTGCTTCAGTCTCAAACATCTATGAAATATACTGCATTAACTTATTAATAGTAATTGTTGCATCCAATTTTTCAGTTTCAAGTTGAAATGGTTCACAGACCCAAGCAAGTTTACTTCAGTTTTAAAAATGATTTGCATTCAGAAGCATTAACCTAGCAATTCTCCACCTAAGTCTAAATTTGCAGTGGTTTTAAAATCTCAAAAAAATCTTCACAACGAATGCCTGGGGAGGAGAGTAATTTATTCCTTCTTGAAAACTGAATAAATTCTCTGCATCTCAGTTTCCCACTGAGCATATGTTTAACATACAACATGTAAATTAAAATACATTGCAAAGGAAATTAAGCAAATAGAGCTCTTCTGCAATCATGTGAAACAGGTTTCACTTTTACCCAGCACATTTGAGAAAACAATGATTCAGACTGGCATGTGTGGCGAGTTCTCATTTGCTCAAATCAAAAGACATGTTCCTGTTTTTCACCCCAGGTCTTTGGAAGAGGAGCTGAGGGAAACTTCCTGATAGGGATGGGGGAAACCTGAACTGTATTTGTTGCTTTTACCCATCTCTGGTTACAAAACACTGCAGCATTACTTCGTACATACTGTACCTGGACAGCATCTATTTTCAAAGAGAGTTTCAAACTCTGATAAACATTTATCAACATTTCTGGCAAGATATTAGTACTGTATCACGAAGACTAGAAGAAAAATAGTCAGACCATAGTTATTACAGCTATGTTTTCAATGTTGAGTGCAACATATCGAGAGCCTTGTAATTTTTCTGCAATAACATTTAGATTTTTAAATGCCCCACATAAAAATAATTGACGTTTTGGAAGGCTTCAAGTTGGACAAGGCATCTTATTAAATGCCCACAACTTGCATCACTTAAACAACACCTTCAGAAATGGCTGAAGCATAGTCATAACAAACATAAGATACTTTTTTTTAAAGATAGTGTGGCACTTATATTTTAATTACCTATGATGTAGAGAATCTCCAAAAGGTGCAGGTTTCACTCTCCACTGCTCATTTTCAGACCGCATGGTCTCAATTTCAACTAACACTTGCTCCTGAAATGTAAATCAAAGCATTGGGTTTAAAAACACAGCAAACACTTAAAAGAATATAAAATGCCATGCAACATCTCTGAAAGATCGACCATTCAGTCAGTAAATATGTTCATGACTTCAACCTCACCAGTTATAAAAGGTCATTGTTGTGCTCTAGTTTCACAGTAAATTACAGCATTTTTTGTTCAAAATGTTCTTTTAAATGCCAGTGCAAATCCATAACAGATACAATAGCAGCCTCCTGCGCTAAAACATTTCTGTTTCTATAAGAATAGTTCATTATTTATTGGAATACATGGGAAATGTCCACAAGATTGAGATTTAAAGAAAACCCACAGAACTTAATATAATAAAAGTACCCTGTACTACACACAACACAAAATACCCACATTTGCACTATAATCACATTACACACAATATTTCCATATTTTTATAGGGTCAAAGAGAGAATGTTCAATATAGTGGAGAATTCAATTTGCCATCAGACTGCACTTTCGTGGGATTGATATGTGAATTGCTGAAATTGTTTAAACACACAAACAATGCTTAAACACCATGTTTTTGATTTTGTTTGTGGGACAGCTTTACAAAGACTTAAAATTTCAAAGACTAGTGGCAGTAACATATATTAGTTGAGTTTGCACGGAGTGAGTCCAGCAAACTGATTTTGGATCTTCATTAATACAAACGTACACTAACTTTTGCATTAATTACCATTTTACACTTTTCTACAACAAAATGCATTGGTTCCAATTACACTTTATAAACCAATCATTTCCAATATATAAATTAAGCCCAACCACGAAAATGAGCTACATATTAAAATCACTATTTTGGGTACCCAAACCATATATATATATATATAGTATTATATCATAGAGCAAGTTTTAATATTTAAGATTAAAGCTTTCCTGTGAAATTAAAATATTTATCTGGTAACACTCAGACAGACTATTGTTAGTTTACATTCACAAAAATTCTTTCAAGCACAGGAGAAGGCTTACTAAAATTTCTCGAACAAACAGGGAACAAGAGGAGAATATGAATAAATCATGAAGCAACATTATCTTTACTTCCTTGGCTAATAACCTTTCAAACCGCCTACCTTCTCATGTTGTGTTTCTTCAATGAGTTTCTTTGTATTTTCTAGTTCTCGAATAAGGGCGTTCTGAAATATTTCACAGAATATACATCAGATCATTGCAATGTTCCTGCTAGAAAGTCAATACAGCCATTTCAATTCAAAGTTAAACAATTCAGCTAGTTAGCGTTACTGATCGAGAGATTTCTTCCCTCTTCCCATCATTTTAGCCTCTAAATATTTGATGTCTCGCCACCGCCACACTATATGCAGACAACAAATGGAAGACAAACAGCTGTTAATGGGTTCTGAGCAGTTTGGGCCTTCCATTAGGATCCAGCTGCTATTTGGAGGTCCTCTCCCTAAAAACGTGCAAAATACACTCACAAGGTGCATACATATGTCTATCCAAGATTTAAATGCAGCTTCTTAAATCTAGGGTTTTGCTAGACATACCAGGTAACAAGCCATCCGTAAGTTTCATAACTCCAACTATGTTTAATACAAAAAAGCATCACCTTTTCCTCTAATGCTGCCATCCGTTCTTTTAGATGAAGCTGAAGTCTTTCATTGGACTCAGAAAGAAGTTTATCTACGGTGTCTGATAAGCGTTTATTATGTTCTTCGTTCATCTTTTCCCTCTGTCGAGCCTTTAAAAGAAACAATCCAAACACGTGAAATCTCCCACTCAAACGGTTGACATCTTGAGAAAAATCATTGAACTGTCAACATCATTGCAATCTTAAGATACAAAAGTGTGACCATCTCTGAGGGCAGGAAGAACGTACAAGTATATATGCACACACCACATTACCTACAACTTTGCAAAGGAATCCACATGTCTACAAATGTCATAATGCAAAGATTACATAAACTGTGTAGGATTCAGTATTTGAAGTTGAAACAGATTTACTCTTTTAGAGGTTATAGAGCATAAAATGAAAAACATACTCGTTGTAATTCTTGATTCTTTTCTTCTAGCTGTGCCTCCAGCTGCCGTAACCTTTCTTCAATGTTCCCATGCCTTTCCTCGGCCTGGCAAAAAAAGGTAGTAAATTAGTATTGCAAAGACAGAGCTTTGAAATAATGAACCCTTGTGAAAAACTGCAACTCGTCCAGAAACCAATTTCCACTTTTTAGTGCCAAGCCTCAGCCAGTGGCCTCACAAAAGCCTGGTGTAAGCTGCACCGTATGAAATATACGACAGATGTTCAATGGTGCTTTAACTGCTCAGTGCACGTTTGAAGCTCAAAAGTTCAGCCAGCGTAGGTTACACGATCAAGGTATCAACTGCCACTGTTTGCAGAGGCAATAGGTAGCAAGCATAAAACAGTACACGGGAACAGTGCATATTCTACCTTCCTAAGCATGGCGTTCAGTTCCACCAGTCTAGCTTCCATAACAGTAGAATCTTCAGAAGAAAGGGAAGGATCAGACTATGAAAGGCAAAAAGAGAGGTACAGAAAAGAGCAGAAAGATTACAATAATCGATAATACTGAATGAGAAGGGAAAGTGGCTATTGAGGAATACTGATTAAAAAAAATAAATGGCCCGTCAAAAAAAGTTTGAAACTAGAGCGTGGAATAAAAAAGAATAATGGAAATGAATAAGTCTGACTCAGAATGAATTGTTGAGCTTAAATGAAAAGAGTTTCAAAATGTAGTAGGAAGGAAGTTCAGTTTACCACAATGTGCCTGCGCTGTATATTATATACAAGAGAGAATTTCCCAGTTCAGATTTTTAGATATTATTGTGGTCATTAACGACGGAAAAGGGTGGATACAACCCAGAGCCCAAGACCGTGATCAGAATGAATGAATATTAAACACTCACATTGTTGCATTTATACCAGAGCAGTGGGCTTCAAATTCCCACAGAGGTATAAGAATGCCACTTCAACAAGGCACAAAAACAAGCAGGAAAATAAAAACAGGACTCTGCTCAGTTAAACTTAAAACTACTTACAAAGCTTTCCAGGTTTCATTTTCCTTTGACAATAAACAGTAAAATATATTGTTGGTCATTTTGGTAAAGATAAGGGTAAAACAGAAGCAGCTTATAAAAATAATGACAAATCTTTTCAATTCAGAATGTATCAGTCTTACAATAATTATCCAAATGCAAACGTCGCACACTGGATTGGGGAAGAAAACGTGAAAATCTCTGTTCTTTTTTGGAACACACAATTCATTCCTCAACCCATCTTTCTCTCCATTTCACCCCGGTCACGACTATCATATTCCAATTAGCCCAAATTAGTACATGGCAAAAAAAAAAATGAGAATGCTTTACCCCACATGTGAATATGAAAGATCTGCATTCAAAACACATGGGCAACTGCTTCATTTTCTACACTCCTTAAAAATGTCAGAAGCCAGACAGCCCTGCCAACTTACACTAACCAAATCGTAGCCAAGTACAAATTTTAGATGAACAAAAAGATTCGTCCATGGAGCCATGTTACAGGAGTCTAAACTAAAAATATTTAAAATGTACAACAATGTGTATATATATATGTATACTTTGTTAAATAGCCTTTTTTCCGGTTCACTGTTCTCCTATAACTTGTACTTCTCACTGATCATTTTACGTGATTACGCAATTAAAAATGCATCTACTGTATGTTCTCTCTCTAGGATACGTGCAATTTGGATCAATACTCACAGGATACAAAAGAAAACCCAGAACCATATAAATACTCACAAGTAACAAAAAACCTGACCAATCAAATTCAGTAAAACCCTCTCATGAATCTGGAGTTAACACTCTAAAAATCAGGTATCCTTCCCTATTAATGGCGCCATGAGGTAGCTCTGACAACATGTTTGCAAACATCTCAGGATTAGTGAACGGTTTATCAACAGCTAATTGGTTTGAAAGACATCTAGTCAAACAATTTACCACAGATTAGCTTGTGGCTATAAACCTTCAACATATGGATGTTTCATCATATAATAATAATAATAATCATGGGTAACAATCTGAAAAAGTGAAGAACATGATGTTCCAAATTTGTGTGTAAGGAGCTGTTCCATATGATTTGGGATCCAGCACACTACTTGTAAAAGATAAAAACATGGTTTAAAGACCAAAACACACACAAACAGTCAATACCTACCTTGCTAAGCGCTGCTACCCTTTGTGCCAATTCTGCTTCTACCTCTGGCAGAGTTTCTGCTTTCCTGAGAGTTTGCTGCAGCTTCTGTTCAGCTAGTTCCAGGCGTTCTTGCAACTGACGGTTCTTTTCTTCACTCTATTGAAGGTTAATAAGACATCAGTCATTTCAACATAAAAGCAAAGACAACACTAATTGGCTACAATTCTAATTCGATGCAATGTAATAAGATGAGAATCATTTACTTGAATCCAGACTTTCTCTCTCATATTCACCTTCAAATAAATAGTCACTGCATTTTACACCAAATCCTATGAAACACTGAGACTATTCAGTGAAATTCTTCTCTTTTACCGTATAAATATACAAACTATACAGTCACTACACTTTACAGTATATCCTGTGACGATGTCTTGAAGACGTGATAAACCGCGATATCAAATGCAAGGATTATCATTATTATAAATGAGTGAGCTGAGACTGAAAGTGGATGGATGATTTGTGGCTGACCTTTGCTGCTCTGAAGGAGGTGCATAGGAAGGAGCTCAAGCCAACCTTTCCCCTAATTTAGTCCTTCCCATTTCTATTATTCTAGTTGTACTGTAAAGCTACTTTACCACAAAACTCCAGATCATTTTGACTACCTCAAACTAAGTTAAAATGAAAGTCTACAGAGAAATGGTTTTAACAAAGTAAGGTGAAGTTTTACATTTCTGTTCATGAATAAATTAACAGAAGCAGCCTTAAAAACATCCCTTTTGCTGTAACTGGGGAAAAAAAGCTTCCAATGAGAATGGGAAACATTTAAAATTCAATCGAGTAGGTTTGAGTTGCAGCATATACACAACAAAATAATCTCATGGTTAACTAAACTCTCTTTTGCGGTGAACAATTAGGAAAAGTTAAAATGAAAAAGCCCTGAATCTGTGTTTGTCTATTGCATTGGTATTCAATGGCATGCAGCCCTCAACATGTTGATAATGTGCAAAACTGTCCAAATAAATTTACAGATTCCATTTGCCTGGGATTCAAAGACAGAATCCAAAGACCTGGGGGAGGGGAACTCCTATGTATAAATGAAGTTTGACAGTATTCGGTTTCGAATGTAGTATTTCGAATGTAATATTCCTCATGCTTTTCGAGTTAGAAAGCACAGCTGAAGCAAAATGTTCTTTTATTGAATCAGGTGCATTTGTGCATGCAAGGTTGCGGGTTCAGAAATAATGGTTTACTTATCACGTAATGCTTCAAATTGTACCACTGGGTATAAAGCCATCATACATTTTAATGTACCATGTTTACGTTTCTGCTACTCATTTACACCCACTTCCTACATTTCACGGCAAATAAAGTTATTCATCTAAGATGACTTAATTTGGGAAATTATAGAGGTCTGTACCTGTCTGTACATAGCATCTTTATTGGCAAGCTCATTTTCAAGTTTATCGTTGAGATCATGTACGGATGTAGCTTCACGCTGTGCACTGAGGTAGCGTTTTTCAAGAGTTGTTATTCTTTCCTCCATATCATCTTTCTGAGCCATAGCCTATAAAAGCAAAACACATTACTGAGTCAGTCTCTCAAAAAAAACACTTGCATCCCTGCTCCAAAAACAAAAAAGCACACAAGAGAAGTCATTAGCCCCATTAAGTGAGCAAAATATCAAAAATGCAGGTTATAATCAGATAGCTGCAAATAAGTCAAGATAGTTGCATTTATTAGCCAATTCTGCAAAGCTACTGTTTGATCAATCCCAAATATGAAAATACACTCACAAAATAAACGTCTATTACATTTCACAGGCTTTGCACACCGCAGGTTTAACTTAGTATTCTTACCTCACGCAAGTCCCTCTGGAGTTTAGTGTTCACTTCTTCAGACTTGATCAAGTCTTTACGGGCTGTATCCAGATCCTCTTCAAGTTCTGAGACTCTACTGGAAAGAGCAGCGAGTCGATCCTTCAGCTGCCCGTGTTCTTTGTTTTGTTTATCCACTACTTCCTGTAGTTCTATTACTTTAATCAAATCTTCATCGTGACTTATAGAGCTATTAGATAATCTCTGAAATAAAAATGAAAAGTTGTAATTAAATCTATGTTTTAATGAAAGCGAAATTTCGCTTCACCTACAGAAGTCATCAATCAGAAAGAATTGGACTCAAAACAAAGGTTTTTGTTCCTGGACCAACCATGGGAACAGGAGTAAATTATGTCTGACTACACCGGAATTTTATGCATCGCACAAGTGAGGTTGATGTAAAGATACACAAGGCAAGAAATATATACTTAGTGATGTAAACAGACCAGCTATAAAATGAGACCAACTAAAATCAAGATAGATTATAACCTGGCAAGGGAGCAAAATCCAAAGTAGTTCATATATCAAAATGCTGGGTGTGTCAATGTTCTTGTAATTGAATAATCTTGGGAGCAGTTTCATATAAGCTAGTCAGGTAAAGACCATTAAAACACATCATAACCAAGAATCCATTCTAATGCTATTGATAAAGCTAATGATCAAGGAGCTCACCAGATTTTTTTGTTTGCTTGCAGAAAATATATAAGATTCATCTTCAAATACACTTAAGATATTCTTACAAGTTGAACAAAGTAAATATTTCACAGGTCAAGGGAATGGAAATACGTACAACAGTGCCAACTCAAATCTAGGATACGTGCCATGATTCGTGCTTATAAATCACTGATTTTTATTTTTACAGGGTAGCATATAATTTATACATATACGTATCAATTACAGCATTGTATGCTTAATGACATTTTAACTTTGCATTTTGTATTCTGCATTTAATACTCCATAAATTCAGGAAATCCATACCATGCCATTTGTACTTGGAATATTATCATATCCATGGCCACCATCTTCTATTCCATCCATAGCTGCACCTTTTTTAGGAGCATGTGAATTTTGCTCTTTTAAGAATGAAATCTGAAATGAATATATATTATTAAATTCTTCCAAATGTTCACATTGTCTATTTTTTCAGCCACTACCTCTCGAAACTCTGGAATAATATTCCTCTATCCCTCTGTCTTGCCCCTTGCTTCCTCATCTTCAGGTCAAGCCTGAAAACCTTCCTCTTCGACCATGCCTATGTCACCTCTCCCTCCCCCTGCTCAGAGTCGGGCTCTGCCACTGTCAAGTGCTGTGGGACTCCACCCTACATGAGGGGTGCTATAAAATGCAAGTTGTTGGTGTTTTCCTCTAGTCTTCTGAAGTTGCCCACTCTTGCTGGGATAGGATTGCAGCAGCAACCTCTGGTACCCTACCAGATTAACCAATCTTCATAATGTGACCCTAGTGCATTCCGAGACTATTCCACATCATGGCACCACACTGTGAAATTAGTATTAATTCACGAGTTTTACTCTGGTAGCAGTTGAATACACTTCACCTTACTACACTCCAAACTATAAACCTACATCTTGCCAATATAACAGAAGGGATTGGCTGTGTTTTTATTTGATAGAATGCCTCCATGATGCTCAACAAAAAAAACTCACCTCTTTCTCTCGAACTGCTATTTCCTCTTCTAATGCACTAACTCTTTCTAATGCTACTCGTAGCCTCTCCCGTACCTAGAAATAGACACAGGCTCATCATTAACATTCAATACGAGTTGTCATGTATTAACTCTACAGTAAGAAAAGTGTTTTCAAAGTTTGAGTTATGGTAAAAATGGATATCCCACAATAAGGGTGAAGGCCGAAATATTATTTAGTGCGGACTTTGGAGAAAAGATTTAAAAATGCTATAATTTATTAACGAAACTATTTCTTAAAAGTTAGTGAATAATAATCTTAAATTAGTACTTTTATTCATCAATTCATTCATTTCCAGTTGCAAACTATATAATCACATTTACTGCTTTAGAAAATACAATCCGCACAATGACAGTACCTTTTCATCTAAAGCTTTGTGGTGTTCAAACAATGATTTGAGTGCTTTAAGAACTTCTACTTCACTAGATACACCTGCTGGTGACTGAGCTTGCCTCTTCACTACGGTCATTCTGAGTGACCGCTCGTGTCTGGAGACGAGGCATTCGAGGTGTTCTAACAGCAACTGCAAAGCAACCAAAATATTCAGTGAAAACAAAACACGGAATTTAAAACATTTTCAAATTAAATCAAAAAACTCAATTTCTCGTCGGAAACTAACTGCACCCTGAACCAGTTTGAAAATCATTGTTCTATTGCACTATACTGTTCAGCGGTCAATACAGCAACACAACGCAACAAAATCTAACTTTTGTTTTGTTGTTTTTTTTTAAAAATCAGAATGAAGGCTTTCACTAAATACACATATTTAGACACAGAACTATCCGAGGACCTTCAAGTATATTTCTGTGTATATTTCATGAAGGACTAACTGAAGCTTTAAAGGCCTCTAGTTACTGAAACAATCAACTAAATGATTGTATGAAGTGGCAAATGTTTGGAAGAATTTTATCCACAAAAAAAATTGTGGATTTGCTGCATTAAAGATACAAAACAATTAAAAATACTTTGAACATTCTCACGTAGAGCTTACTTACCCGAGTATTATTTCTTTCTGCTTTCAGTTCAGATATTTCTTCCTCTCTTTCTAGCAGCTGTTCTCTGCATACATTTAATTCTTTTGTAAGTGCTGCGAACTCCTGTAAAAAAGAGACCCATTTTAGACTAAAATTTAATCGTCTAAAAAAGTACAAACTAAGCTCTCACTCTCTCTCTCCCCCTCCCCCCCACCCACCCTGATTCCTCACTCCCTCCACCACAAAATAATTAGCGAACAAAATGACATTATTTCTCAGCTTCGGCACACAAGATTTTTTTTCATTGTACTAAATAAAAGCTGCGGGTGTCAGTAATTACAAAAGGACTAAAGCTGACCTCATTAACTTTCCAGAAGAGGGCCAACAACAAAAACAATTTACACAGCACCTTTCATATTGGGAGGACATCACAAAACTCTTGACATAACTGACTGGGAACTACTGGCTGGGATCTGTATCAAGCGGTAGAAGAAATTGAAAATCCAATACTGGCTCTGTATGCAAGAATCAATCCAACTAAAAGGACTGCCAAATTAAGTTTAACACAGATTAAATGCAAGATGTCACATAGATCAAGTAAAATTAGTACAGAAATTACTGTGGGATTTGTGGAAAGAAATCTAGAGGTGTATTTGGCTGCACATGGTGAGCAGTGAGTCAAGTAATTATTGTAAAGAAATTGCATATTCCTTTAATAAAACATGAAACAATTATAATACGTATTCCATAAAGGAAACGAGTCAAAGTTATGCAAGTTAAGCAAACTTACTCTGACAATCCCTCACGGTTCACTATCTACACAATTGGAAAGATGTCAACTCCATTAGGATGTAATGTACTTACTTTGTCAACTGACTTATCAAATCTGTCACTCCGTTACCTACAGCAATAAAGAAATCCATACCAAGCAAAGACCAAGAATCTCTAGTGAATTGAAGTGTAATCCGCAGCAAGAAAGAACCAATGATTCAAGCATCATTTCAATTAAATGCATCTCAACACACTCTAAAGTANTTTTTTTCCTGTATTAGAACATCCAGTCTATCTATTAACTAGGTTTTTGAAATACAAGCAATAATGCAGAAACAACAGAATAAATCAGTTGGTTGTCCTGTTTTTACAGAACAGAAATTTTCACATCAAATTGAAGTTTTAAGTTAAGAGCATCACACAATTCTAAGTTTCATTTAATTTGTACGGCAATGAATCCTAAAAGTAAACCAAAAATTTTTAATAAAGTAACACTAAAACGCTTACAACTTCGGTTCGACAAGGAGCAACGCCATGTTTTAACTTCCACAAGAGGGCACAACGCCTTGCATTCCAGAAGAAACTAAAATGGAATAGCGTAAGCTAGAAAATGCTTATGTGCACGAAAAGACAATTACTGCTTGCAGTATCTGTTCCAAATGTAGTGAAATGTTGTTACCATTGAAGAACAATTACTTCTGGGATCATTTACTATGGTGCCAAGAGAAACGGGACCACAGAGGGGGGGAAAAAAAGTAATGAGTGACAGCCTGGCTCAGTTAGCAGCACTCTCTCCTCCTTCGAATCATGGTCATGGTTTGGGGGTGGGGTGCACCGTTTGAGGTGCTGAATTCAGGTGAGAAGTTAAACCCAAGTCCCACCTGTCTGTTCAGGTGATCATTAAAAATCCCATGTGAAATATGTTGACTAAAGGCCACCATATTAAAAATTGCCTTACTGAGATGAAAGAAGATTTACATGCCCATCTCAAGGCAAAGCCAAACATACTGTAGCAGGTTGCTTGGGGTTTTCTTTGCTCTTGCTCAGACCTTAGCTACGGTGCTACACGGAGTTAACACTCCACATTCTCCATTACCAAACTCAGCAGTAATTGAGTTTGATTTCTAATTTTGTTAGTCACAAAACCCTCTTAAAGGAATTTTCCAAAATAGAAACCGGAGCTATTTGGATGCAGAGGAAGAAACGAAAGTGAGAAGGGTTGAAATCATGTAATGCAGAAAGAATAGATCACATATCTAAAAGCTTTTGGATGAGAACATCATTGAACTGTGTTTCTCCATATTTATAGCAAGATTTTTTAAAAAATCACTGAGGGGTTAGGAATTTTTAGATCCCTAATCTTTTAGACCTAATATATTTTGTAAGAACCACACTAACTGCCTTCCAGCTCCAAAGTTCTTCTCATCATCTCGCTATTTCCCACCCTTCCAATAGATAAATACGCTAAAATGGGTAAATCAACATGCATGGAATATGAATCTCTCTCCACCTCCCACCCCCCCACACTCAAGTATGTAATCATCAGCATGTCAATTTTCCATCTGCAGGCTCATGTCAAATTTCTGATGAAACATGAGCTGATGTTCGACGCACTTTCCATAAACTTTGTAGACATTTCCAGTCCTATTGTAGGGTTCAACAGTAAATAAAACAACACTGTTTTCACAGTGATGCTCCCTGGTTATTAACCAACTTAATGAACCATCTTTCATTTTCGTAGCAACTCATCAAGTCAATGTCTCAAAATGCTGCACAGGTAATTACAACCAAGCGAGGTGACGAAAGAAAAACCTCGAGTCTGGTACAAATTATTCCTGTTAAGTTAAATGAATTCAATTGACTCACATTTGCAATATTCATTAAGAAGAATCTTCAAGAAAGGTGTTCAATCTGTTCAATCTTTTTGACCCCCTTTCAATGTTCAATTCTACATCCCCAATATGCTGTCTCCCCAAATCCACACAACTTTGCTCGCTGAAATTCAAGCTGCAAATTCTACCACAATCTCATAAATCCACGTATGCAGCTGCAGAAACTGTCGCTATTGGTTGACAGGATTGTTTTCTTGGTTGAGATAAATGTGGACTGTACACATGAGGCAACTGGGCTCACATGCTCATATCGAATTAGGAAGCTTACTCGAATATTGAATTAGGGATCTCACTATAAGACCATTGTGCAAACCCTACGATACCCCATCATATTTAGAAAAGTACACAGAATTTGGCTAATTTTAATGGAACTTCCAAGTGTCCAGAAATTTCAGAACAGCCGTGATTAACATGTAATTTGTAGACTTTTGAACTCTATGTAGGTTACAGCAAAGTTAGCTGACAGATGGTAAGCCATGTGTACAGTAACTGAATGCTTAACTACTATTGCGGGCATACAATGACATTAATTATTTACTAACAGGCAATATATCTATGCATGCAAACAGTAGGTGTGGTGAGAAAGGCACCATTTAAGTCTTTCATTTAAATGTAGAAACATAAGCCAGGGCAATAAACAAGTCAAAGGTCAATAGATTTTTCAAAATAGTTATTGTACAAATTCAGTCAATGCAAATTCATAGAATGTTAAAATCAGATAAGCACATTCCTGACCCATTTCAAATCTTAATTTATACCTGGCTTGTTTAATAGCATAATTCTTCCAATTTCCAATTGGAGTCCTGTAGCTCAATGGTTAGAGCACTCGCCTCACAAGTGAGAGACCTGGGTTCGATTCCCAGAAGGGTAAAACCTTGGGCAAGTTTCCTTACTCCGCATGCCTGATAATAATCCCTCAAGAAAACAAATAAAAAAATTAATAATTTGGTCACTCAATCCACGACTGTTTGCAGGACACTTCTGTGCACAATTGGCTGCCGCGTTTTGTCCACAGATATACAGTCAATTCACTTGACAGTATATTCCGTGAAGCGCTTTGAGACATCTAGAAGACGTGAAAAGTGCTGTATCAAATGCAAGGGAAGGGATTTTTCAACCTACACCATGCAATTGGATTCCACTATAGTTTAGCAGAATGTCTACACTAGCATAAAAGTGGTTATTCGTAAAATCCCTATAAACTTAGTTCACATTAAATATTAGTAGGCCTAAAATGATAATCATTGTGAAAGAGTAATACTACCATATTTTTGCCATGTTTAGCTCTGTACTGATGAGTTAACATTCTACAGTCCCACCATTTCACCTTTAGCCTATCATGTTTTCTTTTCTCATTTGGCGGCTAATTAATCAACTGCAGTGCTTTGAGGTGTCTCTTCGATGTGTTAAGGAGCGATATCAAATGCAACGATTATTATTATAAATTCTCAAGATACCATTCAGTTATGCAACACAATTAACCTGCCCATTGGCATCTTCTCGCCTTCAGAGTGGGAACTCCAGTACTAGTCACTCATTCCTTTTGGCTGATATTCATTTTTGTATAGGTATCCTGGCCAGTTTCCATGCCTTTGCAAGCTCTTAGATTCATCCAGCTTGAATACTCGCCTTACACCCACCTTTTCATTTCCCCTCAAGCAATCATCTCTCCTCCCATATTGCTATTGAAGCTCAAATCTATTTTTGAAAGAGAAATACATTTCTTCCACCTTTTTCTTGATCCCACTCACCAGGCAATTTGCCGGATACATCAACTTGCCCACCATTTTCGCACCTCACTGTCAAATGTCCCCTATTTCAGTCTTCTTTCAGTCTCTGTGCTCATTCTTGTTCTACAGGCATAATCATGAATTTTTTGGGGAAAAAAATAGTGTTGCATCATCACTCGTTTCTGTTCACACCCAGTTCCTTTGTCCTCATTCGAACAGCAGTCAAAGATACAATGAAGGGTTAAACATTCCAAGTGAATTGCAAAGTCAATTCTTATCCTTAAACATTCATACCTGCTGCCTGCCTTTTGTGTTTTGCATTAAAAGACTGAAAATGTGTCTGCCAAGATGAAGCCTTAGTAGACTGCTGCCTTCACCTCAAACCATTCTGATATTTTCCATTAATTTAATCTTCTAAAAGTCTTTGCTGCTTAATAGATCTTCTTTAGGCACCTGGGAATCCTTCCAGCTGCTCCAAGACACCATTTTACAAGTTATATGTCTGTTTAAAGACAACAAAATACAACCTATTTTTTTTCTCATCTATTTCTGTCCCAACCTAAATTTCTCCCTGTCATGACTCATTTTTTTTTAAAAACCACGGCTCCCCCTCGCCACTCCTTTATTCCAAATCGTTTCTGCCCACATGCAGTTTCCTCTGCAGCTATCTTTCTTTAAACATTCTCCATCAGAATCAAAGTCTTTGACCCGTCATCTCTCCCATCTTTCT